AGCTTTCCCTGGTCGCTGTAGAGGAGGCCCAGGTTGTTAGACGTACGCAGTGTCGATGTATGGTCTTGCCCTAGTGCCTTTTTGTAACCTTCCAGTGCCTGCGTGTACATCTTCTCTGCCTTGTCGAGCTTTCCCTGGGCCCTGTAGAGGTTGCCCAGGTTGTTGATTGTGTCAAGTGCCGACGTGTGGTCTTCCCCTAGCGCCTTCTTGTAGCCTTCCAGCGCTTGCGTGTACATCTCCTCTGCCTTGTCGAGCTTTCCCTGGTCACTGTAGAGGAGGCCCAGGTTGTTGACTGTGTCGAGTGTCGACGTGTGATCTTCTCCCAGCACCTTCTTCTTGCTATCCAGCGCCTGTGTGTACATCGTCTCTGCCTTGTCGAGCTTTCCCTGGTCCCTGTAAAGATCACCTAGGTTGTGGACTGCCCACAGCAGTGACTGCTCATCCTCCTGCTCGCGAGCTCCATTCTCTGCTCCCTGGCCCATCATGTCCTCTTTCACTACGCTCTTCTCACACCGCTCGGCATGCGCAAGAAGTCGGGCTTGCGTCTTCCAGTACTTCCTCTCGGTGTCAATCGGCACCGCGAGCCCAACAAGCACAACTGCCAGCCGCGACAGCGCGGTCCGTTGCCTGTCGTCTTGCATGTGCAGCGCCCACTGGTGCACCACCGGATGCGTTGAGTGGCCTGTCTGGTCCCCCGCCTCCTCTACCAGAGAGTAGCTCCGGAGCGTCCCAACGGCCTTGGTGAACTCCATCTCGCTGCGCGCCGTCTCTCCAAGCCACGCTGCTGTTCGCTCTGCAGCCACAGTCGACTTGTGTGATGCTGCGGCCAGCAGTCCATGCCACAGGCCCTTGTTGTCCAGATGCGCCCATAGAAGCAGCAGGTTCGCGGCCTCCTCGTTCCTTCTCCGGACAGCCGTGTACGATATCGTCCAGGTCGTCGCCACGCTGCCGTTCGCGTAGCTCCGCAGCGGTATCCGTCTGCCGTCATGCGACTCCATCAGCTCCTGCCACTGCTCCTTGTACAGCCGAGTATAGGTGCTAAAGCCCATGCCTGTCTCGCTCATGTACGCAGCAGCCTGCGCCAGCGCCAGCGGCAGCCCATCGAGCAGTCCCAGCAGCTCGTCGGCCTCCTGACCTGTGATGGCGTTAGCGTCACCGTATTGCCTGCTGCCGCTGCGCCCATTGCAGACGCTGCAGCTACATTCCGAGATGCTCACCCACACCTCTCCCGTACCACGTCTTGAAGATGGTCTGCGCCTGCTCCTTGTCCACATTCTTCACTTCCCACTGCTCTCCGAGCTGGCCCAGATGCGAAAGACGGGTCGTGATCAGCACCGATCCGTGGTCAGCCTCCGGCAGGTACTCTCCCACGTCATACGCCTCCGTGTCTTCTTCGCGCCGTCGGTCGTCTCGGTCGACGTTATCTACTATGAGCAACCAGTTGCTGTTGTCTGCTATACTCAGCCAGTCTATCACGTCCCTCGCCACTGCGTCGACGTCGCCGCCCAGGCCAGCGGCGTACAGCCTGCTGGCCTCGGGGATCTGCCCTGCTGGGATGCGGCTCGCAAACGTCGCAAAGCTCTGCTTGAGGCTGCTCTCGCTACTCCCATCTAGCCACAACACCGACGAGAAGCTCCGCTGCTGTCGCCGGGCAAAGTTAGCCGCCAGCTGCGTCTTGCCCACGCCGCCCAGCCCGTAGCCTACCAGCAACCGTCGCTTCTTCACACCCTTGTGCGGTAGAAGTGCTTGCTCTAGCGCTTGCGTGTCCCTTCGCCGCTCTGCAAACTTCCCCACAGGCACACCCTTGAGGCTGAAGTCGACTTTGTGTTTGTCAATGCTTGCTACGCTCAGTCAACATTTTGCATTCCTTAGCAGCTACTGCGGGTTGTAGTTACATTGAGATCGAGCCAGCATCAGGCCTGGAGACGCTTTGATCATGCCCTTCACCACGTCACTCACCGTCTCGAAGTCCTCCTCTGTCGGCCTCCCGAACTTGTTCATGTCGAAGTGCGTGCGCGACAGCGAGAACTTGCTCGTCGCGTCAGACAGGTCGAGGCAGCCAGAGCTCTCGCTCACCACGAATCGCTACAAAGACAGTCAGCGCTGACAGCACTGCACACTCTCGCTGTCCTGAACTTACCGTTCGGTCTATTTTGCCCACGATCCTGCCCACATTGCTCGTCTTGAGCTCGTAGAAGCACGCCACCTGCGCCTTGTTCGCCAGCCCGCGCGTCTTCCCAAACTGGTCCACCACCTCTTGCAGGAACTCGTTGCCCGGTTGCAGAATCCCCAGCGTGTCCGCCTGTATCTCGTCCTGCTCATACTCGCGCTGCGCCGCCGCCAGCATCTCCACCTGGCTCATCCCCTCTGCGCCTCGAAAGGGGGTGCCGAAGAAGATGAGGCCAGTGGTCGATGCGAACACGCCGGGCCACTCGCTCTCGTGGTGTCGGGCATCCAGGAGTGCCTGCAGGCGTTTAGTTATAGCTATGTCTCACGGTTTCGGTAAGCAGCCCACCTTCAGCACGACTAGCCCGCCAAAGCAGTGCGCTACGAAGAGCAGCGGCCGAAACGGGTACTCCTAGTAGGGTTAGCTGTGGTTACCTCTCTACGACGCAAGATCTGTCCGCACCGCTCGCCTTCGCCGCAAGGCCAGCAGCAGCCGCTGTGCCACCGTCGACGCCTTCTGCCGCATCGCCCCCTCGCCAAACCACTGCGACTGGTACCCGTACCGCATGATCCGCGCCTGGGGAGCTACCGCCGGGAGCATGCTCTGCTCCACCAGCCAGTTGACCCACCGCGGGCTCTCCGCCGTGCCGACATTCTTGCACCAGCTGTCCTCTGGGTGCGCGCCGATGCCGTGCACTGCGACGATGTCGACGGGCTCAGCAGCGTCTGCTGGTGCGTCGCGGAGCACTCTTAGCCCAATGTCGTCGTCGGTCGTTAGCCGGACCTGGAGCCGAGTTAGCCTTGCTTGTTGTTTGGCGCGCTTCGGTCCGCGCGTCGACCCACCATTGCTGTTCGTGTACCCACACTGCGGGGTAGGAAGTGAACGACGAGAACAACGAACAAAGTGAAGAGCAGGAAGGTTGGAGAGGTGGAGAGGTGATGACCAGAAGGCATCCAGACTGAGACGCAAGGCTGAAGATGATGGCCAACGGCGCACGGCTGGCGGCTGCGCATGCTTCCATGTGGCGAGGCAGAGCCGCGCTGAGCTGGGCAGTGCTGTCTCGAGCACATCAGCGCTTCCCCGCCAGTTACGCAAGCAGATTCTCCTCTGCAACCGCATTGCTCTTGTTGCCGTCATGCCGCCGTTCTCGAGAGCGACAGAGCTTGTTCGCGATCTTACGCCCGCACCTGGAGCGCCACAGGATGGTGTTTTGCCCAGCCAGCCTTCGATCGCTCTTAGCGACGTACCACGCATGAAAACATTTCTGATGGACGACTTGTTCTCTCAAGACCTTGAGGCGATGGCGCCTCGCTTGTGGATCATGACCACCCCATCCAGCGAGAACATCAATGCTTTGCATCGACAACGGGTCAAGGGCCGCGAAATCATAGTCACAGAAGAGCCTCGGCTACACCTTGTATGGATACACAACCGCATCTTCATCAAGCCCCTTCCACGGTACCTTCTATCGTACGCGTTCTGGGAAGGCTTTTTGGACGAGCCTTCAGACCGGCTAGGTGAGGGCAGAAGCAGCATTCGCAAGGCTGCGGCTGGCTTCCTGCGCACATACCGCCACTTGATCCGACACGAGACAGACTTCAACATCGCTCAGCACGAGCACCTCAGCCTCATTCCCAAGGACGTGGACTGGCCGTCCTTTTGTCGCTTCACATCAGAGCTCAGCAGCATAGACGACTCTGCTGTGTCGAGGAGGTACTGCTTTGGCGAGCTGAGGCTGACGCGGCTCAACCTCTACGCTCCGCTGCTGCTTCGCAAGTTCCACTTCGAGCAGGTGCATGGACAGTATGGCGACTTCTTCGCGCGACTGTACGGGCCCATCCTTTTCGTGTTTGCTCTGGTCTCTACGATTCTGAGCTCTATGCAAGTTGCGCTTGCGGTCGAGCAGTTGGTCGCGGTGCAATGGGTTTCGATTTGGTATGTGTCTCGTTGGTTCAGCGTGCTCAGTCTGATGGGGAGTGCTGTTGTTGCTGGCTGGTTTGCAGTTCTTTGGCTGTGGATGGTATTGGACGAGTGGGTATATACTGCAAGACAGAAACTGGAGAAGCGGCATAACGGTGTGGTTGACCCAAAGTGCTGAATCATTACTGGAGACAAGGGCAGTGTCTTGCAAGATCTAGGGAGTTCGAGGTGTGGAGCAAATAGGTGAGAATGGTGTCTCAATAAGTGTCCCTTTCGACCGTCAGACAGCAAGCAATGATTGCATGTACAGTTCGAAGCAATATTCAGCATAAAAAGCATTTTGTTATGCCTCCTGCTAGACGCAGCTGCTGAGCGTGACATTGTTTGGAAGCGAGAGCGCATGCATATGGAAGCACAAAACCGTCAACGAGGCTAGGGCGTGGTACTCAAAGCATTCTCGGGCTATGAAGCGGTGTTTGTGACAGAACACTCTAAGTGTCAGCCTTTGCGCGACAATCTCGCTGCTCTAAAAAAAAAAAGTCAGAGACGAAGGGCAGTGCCTCTGTTAGGACAGAATTGGCGCAGGCAGGCCAGCAAGCGTGCAACGTTGGCGATGCTGTTATAGTCGCTCGTCAGGTACAGTCAAGTCAGTTTCGAGGCGGCACAGGATACTGTGGAAGCTGCTCCGCAAGCAAGCATAGAAGATGTTAGCTACTAGGTTTGCAAGTGCACGAGGGTCTGTTAGATGCAGGTGCCTTGGATACTCAAGCTGCGGCCCGTGGTTTAGTTGTGCTGTAACCTGTAAGCTCAGTAAAGCCTAGCGATAGGCCGACGTAGAACACAAGCGATAAAGCTCAACTCTGTTTGCAAGAAAGCTAACTTGTGGTTCGCCTCTGCAGCTTTGGGTGGTATCGTACTAGCGCGAGCAGCGCGGTGCCTCGAGCGTCAGCCTTGTTTCTGATACCTTGGCACTCTGCCGCGGCGGAGCTCAGCCCGCGGCGGAGCGGCCTGCACGAGCCATCCCGCCCGCTACTGGACCACTTTGTTGTAAGTTACACAAGCTGTAGATGGGGCCAGATTGCGACTCACGATGGATGGAATGTATAGACTGATAAAGTCAGAATGATATAAACAAGATAAATCAAGGAAGCTAAGAGCGTTTTCAATGTGTATATGTAGGCAGTTTGAACAAAGAACGTTTACTGTGTTTCACTTGCTGGCTGTCTCCGGCGGCCTAACAGAGCAAGCCAAACAGTCTGATTGCTGACCAGATGGAAATAAATCCGGAGTTTGTGCACGTTCAGGTCGATGAACGAGGCTGTGTTCAATCGGCTCCGCTGGACATTGGTCAGCCCTGGAGGAGCCGCTTTACGAATAGTATGCTGTTGGCGATCAATCAGAGGCACCTTTTTGGTCCCACAACATGCAGCTACTGGATCTGGACGAGATTCGTTGAGGGGCATGTCCAACTGTCTCGGGAGATGCTTTACTACATTAAGAATTGTCAACTTTACTTTCTCCTATATCGCATGAGTCTGTATCGAGATCTCGCTCGTCTTGTAGATATGGCCACCATGACTGCTTTTACCCTCGCTAGTCGCCGTTGTTGGTCGGTCCTCGCTCTTTCTACTCAGACTACGCGCGCTTACGCCGCTTCCCACTTCTGTGTAGGGTCCATCAGCTGTTGTCAGTCCTGTTTCGCTCAGTCGTCTGTTGTTTATCCGTGTACTGCCGATGGTCGTCCTCTTCCATTTGGACCTAAGACCGAGTTCAATTCCAGTACTTGTTCGTCCGGCTGTTTGCGTACGACTTCGTGAGAAAGATGAACCCAGCAATTTAGGTAAGATCTTGACAACGGCAGGCTTTACTCCCGGTGCGGAAGCACACAACAGGCTGACATAAATCTCTGTCGACGTCCAAATCGACACATCGTATGAGTCCCAGCTTGGTTCGAAGTTCGGCATCGTTATAGAGCCGCTGACCCGCACCATACGTACTATGCCAGCAACGACAGCAAGCGAACCGAGAAGCACGATGCCAGTCAAAGCCCATTTCTGTCGTTGATGCAACTGCAGTTCGAGGACACGAGGTAGTACGATGGCCATGAGCGCAACATCGACGACTATGTTGAGGCTTCCGCTAAGGAGAAAGCCTGGTAGGTCTTGGAGGCACTTGGCGGCCGGACGTCCTTCGGTCCAGTAGACATGAATCGGTCGACACTGAAATGCGACTTCGAACATGAATGGTACGATTAGAAGGAAAAGGAGGACCATCAGTGCCTGTATCATATAGCGTCCACGTTTGTCCGTGTAGAAGATGCGAAGATATGTAAGGCATATGCTAAGCTTTGACAATGCAAGTGCCGGAAGGAGGATGATTTGGGCCGCGTACGCGTACTTCTGGGATGTGATGGGGGCCTGAGGATTTTCCATGGATGTTGCAATGGCATGACGTCCAGCACCGTTGTCGATCTGACCGTATTGGCAGACGCTGTAGCCGGTACAAAATACCTGTTGAAGTGTGAGTTCGGAGGTTTTCGCAATACTTGATCAAATGCCTTGACTTACCCAAGCTAACATAAGAATGTAGTCTTCTCCCCTCCACGCTTTGATGATGGCGACCCGAGAATACGCTCTCGCAAAGAAGAACAAGGAACCGACAGCCTGGACAACGATGTTGCCAATGATCATCTGCGGTTGGCGTGATTGCGCAAGGAAGCTTGGTGGAAACTGTAGTTTGTGTCAGCCAAAAAGACACTTCTGTTCGTGAGAGCTCGTTATAGTACCTCCTGGTTGCCATGATCCTGACGCGCAACATGGTGAATGAGGCCCATTGGTCTTCGTTCATGTCTTCATTCGCAAAGTGAGGTTGCTACAGAACTGTCAGACTGCGGGGGCCCGAGGAGGGTCTTTCGAGAAGGGTCGCCTTCGCACCATCAGCGTTGATGCCAGACAACACACTTCGGATATCCAATCAGCGTACCCCAGACGCCGGCACCCCAATGCTAGGGCCATTCGCGTGCTCCTGCAGTTTGAGGCAACCCTAGACAAATAGAGTTTCGGTAGCTCCTCCAGGTACAGCCACAGCAATTGTACAGCAGCAACTTTAGGGCGCTTTGTATGCAGGTACCAGAACTATGGTTGCGACGTGCATGTGCACACTTCATGTCAAGAAAGACTCCTGAGCATGCTGAGCGTGCATCGTGGTGTGGAGGCAAAAGCGCACGTGGCTCATGGTATCAAGTTCCGCGGCCCACAATGGCGATCCAGCTCCTACAATGATCGAACATCGTAAGATCAATCCTTGCGGGTATCAAACTCAACACCTGAAATGTGGTATGCTAAGCGCCCATGCTAAAAGTAGAGATTCTATGTGTGGATCAAAAAGCGTGATTCAAGGTTTGCGTATTTTTTTGGGGGATTGATTGCGATTAGCTGTGGAGCGAGTCATTGTGAACTGACGTCCTGTCGTCTGATATTCGGGAGCCTCGTTGTCATGAACTTTATCAGGTTTTCCCTGAAACTGTAAGTGCGACAGACGAGGAGTCGCAGGTTGGGGTGCTAGTCTGCCACGACATACATTTGGGGCAACTTTGCCGCTCTTGTCTCTGTCTCACCCGTGAAATATTCGTAAGCTTCATTCCGATTCCAGGTTCGCAAGCCCCCCAAGAAGCTAATTAAACTAGCTGAATCGCCTGAAGGATAAATCGCTTCAATGAGGCTGGGGGCTTTGACAATCGGTGGCGAGGGGGCGATCATCTTCAAGCTTGACCCTGGTTGTGAGCAGTACCATTGCAGGGAGATCGAGTCGCAGCTGTCTAATATCAACTCGAGCTGCAATGACCATATGGACTAGATCATCAAATGTCAGAGAGTTTGACATCTGAAAGAACCTCCTGACATGTTTCTCCTGTGCCGTCAGCGTGCCGCTCTCCACAATTTGTTGGCAGCGGCGTACCCCAGTGCTTAAAAGGCCCCCATCTATCGAGCGGCAGGGCGGCAAGCTGCCGATGCCACTGCAACATCTCCAGTGGAGGTTGTGATTGAATCGATGAAACTGCTCCGTGGGTATTGCATGATCGACCTCATGTTCAATAGGATACCGTCTCGGTCACTGAGCGTGATCGTTCCTCATGCTGATGCAAGTTGAAGCTCGACCTTCTGACCTGTGTCCGCATCTTTCACCATACACTCTTCTCTATAGTCTCAATGCCGAGGACAGTCATCAAACACCTTACTAGTGGAGTTGAGATAGCGGCATGCCCGTTAGAAAGAGCAGTTTTCGAGACGAGGTTTTCGAGGTTTGAGAAGTTCGACAATCGACAACTGTGCGCGTTGGGTCCTAGGAAATTTCATTAACGGTTCGACCCTGTAAATCAGGAGTTGAGGACTGGTTCTATATTTTCGTAGTCACTCTGTGCTGTGCGATGTTGATGTCGGGTACGAAAGAGGCAGGTATCTGACGGAATCGTTCGCTCGGCGCTCGTCATGCCGAAGCGAAGCTCGAGCTTGAGCACCGATATCTCCAGCTCCCCTCTTTCCAGCCTCCACCATTCAATTGAAGCGCCGCAGCTTCGCCACCTTTGAACATGCTTCTTCAGAACCTCTCATTGTTGTCCCTGGTTCTGGGCAGCTACGCAGCTATCCTGCAGCCATTTTTTTCAGATGTCACTACGTTCGACCCTTCAACATCCAAAGAGCTGCTCGCCCTGCATAAGAAGCTGGTCAAGATCGAGTCAATTAGTGATAATGAGCTCGAAGTAGGAACGTGGCTAGCGTCATATCTCGAAGATAATGGTTTCACCGTAGAGAAGCAGGAAGTTGCAAAGGACCGCTACAACCTCCTCGCCTACGGCAGCAAGCGCGACACGACCATCCTCCTATCCTCGCACATCGATACCGTTCCACCGTACTGGCCATACTACTACAATGAAACTACCGACATTATCGGCGGTCGTGGTAGTGTCGACGCGAAAGCCAGTGTTGCAGCGCAAATACTGGCAGTGATGGGTCTGGACAAGGATAGCGAAGCCAAGATCTTGCGCGACGACATCTCGTTGCTCTTCGTTGTAGGCGAGGAGACTGGTGGCGAAGGAATGAAGGCCTTCAGCTCGTGGGAGAAGCGTCCTCAGTATGACATCGTTATCTTTGGTGAACCTACAGAGGGCAAGCTGGTCTGCGGACACAAGGGCATACTGGGCTTCGAGCTCCATGCCACAGGCAAGGCAGCACATTCAGGCTATCCATGGCTTGGTGTAAGCGCCAATGATATTCTGGTTGAGGCGTTGGGCGCGCTGCTTGAGCTAAGACAGCATCTGCCCTGGAGTGAGAAGTACGGCAACACCACCATGAATTTCGGCCGCATTCAGGGTGGTGTGGCAGCCAATGTCGTCGCGGAGACAGCAAGCGCAAAGATTGCGACGCGTCTCGCAGCTGGTACACCAAAGGTTGTCCAGGGCCTCATCATCAACGCTACGAAAGATGTAAAGGCTCGCGCACAGAAGCAAGGTGGTGACCTGGAGTTTGATTGGAGTGGCAACGGATATGGCCCAGTTGACATCGATTGCGATATCGAGGGCTTCGAGAAGCTCACTGTGAACTACGGCACTGACGTGCCCAACCTTAAGGGTGATTTCAGACGGTACCTGTACGGACCGGGCAACATCTTCGTCGCACATTCAGATCACGAGGCCCTCAAGAGGAAGGAGTTGGAGCAGGCTGTCCTCGACTACCGGAGACTGATCATCCAGGCCTCCAAGATGGAGCCAAAAAAGCAAGGCTCCGACGTGGACGGCGAGCAAGTCGAACTGTAGATGCTTGTTTATGTACATATGTATATACCCTTAGCGAGCGTAGATAACATGAATCTTGACGCGACATACGATTCTGATCATAGTTTTTGTGACATTCCAATAAGGCTCTCTACCAATGCGCTCGTGCCCATGGACAGCCTGGCCAAAATATCATTGTTGGCGGCCTTTACGAATCACTCTGCGCTTGTCACTTGAACTTTTTAGTAGCATGGCATCCAACATGCTGTTGAAAGAGTATATTGCTCAATATTAAGAAGCTCTTGTGTTTCTATCAGCCCTTGACGCAATCTAGAAAACGCCAGCTCAAGTCCTTGTTCCTGATATCGTAGCCCGACTACCTTACCAGGAGTTCGTGCTGTATCACAGACCCCACTTTGCAGCGATGAGCGTCAGTGGCTCGCGTCTCGCTGCTATTTTGTTTTGTTCACGCAAGATATATATACTAATATTTTTTCTTTCTTCAACAAGAACAACAACACGGTTTTGTAGTGTATGTGGTACCCCTGATCAATTCGATCCTGAACAGATAACTAATCCTTCTATAGGTAGCGGTTATCACTCCGGATTCTGATCATCTCAGTATCTTCCGGCAACCCCGGTTCGATTCCGGGCAAGACCTCATTTTTTCCTTTCTTTTTTCCTCCCTTGGAGGACTTCGTGTGGATGGGCAGCTCGTCTTTTTGTTGGCTTGGTGGGTGGAAGTGGGGCGCAGCGTGCCCGTTAGCGAGCACAGCTTTGTCACTCTTTATTCAGAACAAGTCGCGCAACACCGTCGAAGAAACGATGTGTTTCAGGCTGTGTTGATCAATCTTCTTCATTATCATCCCAACAGTACTCATCTAATCTCCCTATTTACACTTTCCGCAGCACTCTAATAACAATAGCGTACAACATGAAAACATGCAAAGGCTGCGCAATGCCGTAAAAAAGAGCATGCCGCCTGGTATCAACTCCACCCTAAATAAAATCGAAATGCGATGCGTGAACGCTGCAAGTAACAGAATCGTTAATTTAACGGCACCAAAGCGTTCTATACTCAGACCTTCGGCCGTATTTGTTTTCAGCACGGTCTGCTTTCAGCAAACGTACTTGTAGACTTTCTTCCACTTGGGCCACTTTTTCCTCTCCTCACGCTCCTCCTCGATTAGCGCGTCGATGTTCAGCTCGCGGATGCCCGTGTGCAAATCCATGTTGTGCGACCGCACGACCGAGGTGCGGTAGTAGAATTTGTACGGGATGTAGAAAGCAATCGTGACGGGTAGCGCGAGATACAGGCTGAAGAAGCGCTGCAGACGGACTGGGGTGGATAGATCACCGTATCCGAACGGCGCAAAAGCGACCCAGAACTGGGCGATCAGGACAAGTATGTTGAAGATAAGGCCAACGTAGGAGCCGATTAGGCCCGGTTGCGAGCGGAATGCGAGTTCGGACAGACTGTGGCCTTGGACGCGCCAGCCCTTGCGGAAGCGAATGTGCGCCAGGCAGATTGATAGCCATGTGAAGACGGCGGAGAGGGCGGAAAGAGCGAGGAGCCAGTTGAAAACACCGTCTCGGAGCTTGTCGTCTGCACCGGCAAGGAAGGCGAGGAGGCCGATGGCCAAAGCGAAGGCGATGGAGACGAGAGGGCGGCCTTGACGGTCGATGTAGGCAAAGATCTTGGGCGCTTGGTGTTGCTCTGCTAAGGCGGCAAGAGTGCGAGACGAGCCGTAGATGGAAGAGTTGCCGACAGAGAGTACGGCGATCATGATGACTGCATTGAAGACTGAGGGAAGACCCTCGATGCCGGCGTTCTGGATAGCGATTACGAACGGGGAGGCAACAGCGTTCGCGCCGTTTTCGTTTTGCAGGAGACGGGGCTCGTCGTATGCCACTAGTAGGCCAACGATAGTGAGCGAGACGATATAGAACAAGGAGATTCGCCAGAAGACCTGCTTCACGGCAGTGGGTAGTGATTTGCGAGGATTAGCGGTTTCTGCTGCGGCGAGACCAACAAGCTCAGTTCCAGAGAAAGCGAAGGCAGCGTTGACGAAGACGCTGCAAAGACCCTTGAAGCCGTTATGGAAAGGACCGGGATTTCGCCAGTACTTGCCGCCAATATAGCTACCCTCTGGTCCACCACCAACGTTGATGATGATGCCTAGGATGATGAACCCAATTACGGCAGTGATCTTGATGATGGCAAAGACGAACTCAGCCTCACCGTAGCCTTTGACACCAAACAAGTTGATGACGACGATGAGGACCAGGAAGATGGCAACGTAGGCGTTGTTGTTGACGCCCCCGTCTTTAGTCCAGTACTCGATGGTGAATGTTGCGGCGACAATCTCCAGTGGTAATACGACGAGCCATTGCAGGGCGTAGTTCCAACCCATGGCAAAACCCCATGCTGGGTCGATGAAGCGAGTCGAGTAGGCCGAGAAGGATCCAGCAACAGGAAACAATACTGCCATCTCGCCCAGAGCGTGAACAGTGCAGTACAGCATGATACCGACCAAGCAGTACGCTATGACTAGCGCACCTGGCCCACCATTGGCTAGTGCTTGACCGGAACCGACAAAGAGACCAGTACCTGACAAAAGTTTAACAGTGCATCGTGACTCGCGCGGTCGAACAGCATACCTATCGAGCCTCCGATTGCAATCATCTGCAAATGGCGACCTTTCAGTCTCCGTGCCAGTGGTGAATTCGCTGTGTTCGCTGCTGCTTGTTCGACATCGTATACGGTTCCATCGGCACCAGAGCCTCCCTTCGGCAGCATGGAAGAATTCGGATCTCTCTTGAAACTGTCCAGCACCCTCATGGCTATCCCATCTCGATGCACTGAGCTCTCGCCATAGTAGTCCGAGTTTTGCGATCCTCTCCCAAAGCTCTTTTCAGTGCCGTACATGTCGTCGTCAACAACCATTCTCGATGAAAGCGACAGCGAGAATCGGGATGAATGAACCAAAGAGAACTGCAGCGGGCGCTGCGAGCTCGGGTGGTGTCGCTGCAGTGCAGCCTGAGTCGTAGCTGCTCGTTCTGGAAGAAAGGGTCTTGGGAGACAAAGCCGTCTGTCGTGCTTACGCCTAGATGGCAGGGCCCAGGCTTATTTTACACAGCGAGCTGCGCCTGTAAGACCGAGGCGAATTGACCAGGGTTCAGAGAGACGGTAAGTGATCTCTTAGGCGCTAGGGGTGGAAGGGTATTTGGTTAAGCGGCGGAGCTTCTATCGCGGCGCGGGCTGCGTCTATCTGTCACTGGCCTGCGATGCAACGGCAGCAGACGTTCCGCCGTGGAGACATGCCTGCTAAAGGGGACTGGAGTGAAGCGCGCGATGCTTGCTGTGTCCCGCCGCCCACGAGGGCGCTGATCCCCCTCCCCCCTCTAGCGGGCGACGATCAAGGCTCGCTCTGCGGTCCCTGAGAAGGCAAGGTTGATGGCGACAGTTGGCCAATGTCTTGAGGGCTTGGAGTCCAAGCAGGCCCCCCACCAGACTCGGTGCACTCATTACATCGTCTTGCGGCGTGCGCCGACAGCAAACCATGGAACGACAACCTGTCACCCTTCAAGGCCCCAGACTCGCAGCAGCTTCTCTCCGCGGTTCGCGTCTCACGAGCGCGGTGCCACGCCCACTTTCATCTGGCAGCCGCCGCTGTTGTGCCTCGGCGACGTCTGGTGGCGCTTGCCGTCCACGGTTCTCGAAGACGCCAGCCCGTGCACGCCTTCGTTGTCAACCGAGCGATAGATGCGGCATGTGGTCGCAAGACCCATTCTTCATTATCTCATGCTCCGTGCTATCTCATCTTGATAGCAAGGTGAGTCGAATTGTCATGCTATCAGGCTGGCCTTGCATTGAATGTATCCGATGCTCGATGTTCGAATCCTGAGGTGACATCTCATGACCCAACATTTGAACATCCTGCAAACTATTGGCGGAGCACCGCCGGCAGCCTGCGCTTGGTCCCTAATACGAATCCCATTATTGCCAGAGACACAATCAACAGGACCATCCTAGCAGGCATCGTTGGCAAAGTGCGAACCCCACAAAACGGTTCGTCCTCGAACGACTGCGGTCAGCTCACACGGCCGCAATTTCTCCAACGTGGCGACATGAGGAACGCGTGAACAACACATGAAGACGGATGACCTTTTGAGATGAAGCTTACAGGCTGAAGCCATTCGCATTTACGAAGCTATTGCCAATGCAGCGGCTGATCAGGAACAATCCTTCTTCAACCGTAATATGCAGGTACAACTTTCACAACAATATTTCCACCCTTGTTTCGCATACCACCCTGACGGATTCCAACGTCTGGATGATTGAAACTGGAAGTATGGACTGAAGGATTATGCCCTCGTGCCGCGATCCGACTTCCTCGAGTCTTCGACCCCCCGAGCCGGAATGATACGAGAACTGTGCGACGCTCTGCATCAGCAGCGTCCAGATGCGTCTCCGACCGCATTGTATCACAGCCTGAAGTAGTCAGGTACGTCCACATCGGCAATCGGTCTTAGAGAAAACTGTACCTCGTATTTGTGCGAAGTATCTGCTCGTCATCACGAAATTTTTCCATACCCCCTTCAAAGGTTCTGTCACAAGCAGATGTGCGGGATGAATGCGTGGGATCATGCCTTGGGCTCGTGCCTTCCTCTCCCGACTAGGTTGATGCACGCCACCACACCCTGCACATTTGCAACTCCAAGCGAGCAGCTCTAACGTTCCTTGCGTGCTTGGAAACAGTGAGACATTTCTGGTGCGGTTCGCAGCCCAGATGAGAAGAATTGGCGAGGCCCTGGCATGCATAGTTGTCAACAATCAAATCAAGTCGAACCCTCTCTTCACGCGCTTACCCAAGACAGTAGGAGTTAAGCCTATACAAGTAACTGCTAGGCTCGAACACAGGTAATCAATCAAGTCAAGCTGAGCTCTCTGAGCCCCACTTAATTGATTGTTGACAACCATGCTGCAGAGACGGTCCGAACAATGCATTTACGAGCAGCTTTTGCTTCTTTCTTGTCGCCTTTCTGTGCGAGGGTTCCATTATCGATACACATGCAGGTCTCGGTCTTCCTGTCTGGCGCCGCATTGCGATGTCGCTGCAGAACCCCTTGGCTCAACTCACCAAACAATCATCGTCACCCTCGATAGACCACGCCTCTATCTAACAACCGCATCCGAGACATTCATACGTTTCGCTACCTCTCGCCAACCCAGTAACGCCTACCCTGCCGTACACCTCGGCAAGAGAACGAGGACATTCGGTATCACGCCCCCCTCTCCAGGATGTTCTTAAGAGACAATCTTGTAGCATGCCGCGACCCGTGAATTCGGCACTGGGATCTCGCACGTGCGTGTCGCATGGCGATATCCTACCATGAGTACTCGGATTCGCAATCTCGACCCATCGTCAACACACATCCCCTTTGCTCGCGATGTCATTGCGATCTCCTTGCAGTACCTAACAACGAGGCATCAGTGCAACTCCCGCGCAGCAGCGCTCAAGGTGCGCAAGCGTCGATGCCAACGCACTACGATCTTGCAGCGCAGCACTGCTGTAAGCGGCGAGACTTGTGTTGTGTGAGGTGGTACAACAGCGCCAGGGGCGATCTGATATCAGCAGCTCAGCATACTGATCTGTCATAGCCGCCACCGATTATCGTCGTACTGACCAGCAGTTTGCAAGCAGGGTATTTGAGCCTACCAACCCATGCCCGTGGAGTAATTTCAAGTTGAGCAAAACTGTATATTTCAAACAATCGCGATAACACAACGAGTACGTTGCAGCGACCCTTGGAACAGCATCATGGTCGTAAACAAGCAGTAACTCTGCAACATAGGGCCTTCTACAACACTGTGCACCGTTGTGTACCCTTGCACTCTGCGTAAATCAGGATAAAGGATGTCAAACCATTTCAACTGAACCACAAGTATTATCCACAATTTCCTCCCCACCCGCCCAGTTCCCGCAGGAGCTCGCACCAGATCCCAGCACACATCTAAACTCTTAGCCGACCCAACAAACCAGACGTCGCACCATCACTTGAAGCACCAATATCTCAACATGTGCCCTCACACTTAGTCTGTCAGGAGAAAAGTCTCGCTCAACAGGCAGTTCTGAAAGGGAGTGCTACGCCTCCACCCAAGCGGACGCTACGGACGCTGGGTAGGGAGCGAGGATTGTTCTTGCGCAGTGCCCTCGAGAGGGACAGACCGTCGCGGCCACTGGGAAAGGCTGGACGTCTATGGATCTGTTCATGCGCTGGGTGTGTGTTGGTGGTAGAGATGTATGAACAAGGGGAAGACAAGATGGAAGTCGTGAGGGCGTCGGTACGACCATGGCCCAGATGTCATGCTACCAACGCCAATGATGCTAGAGTAGAGTATCGTACAACATATATACACTATACAAGAAGATTAGTTTGCCGCTGCTGCTGCTGCTGCTGCGGCGGCGGCGGCCTCGGGAGCAAGGCCTGACGCCTGAGCAACCTCCTCCATCTTCTCCGCCATACCGAGATCGCGGAACTCCCAGCCATGCGCGGCTGACGCCCAGTCCTTCTTCTCCCCAAGCACAGCAAGATTCGCCTGCTCAGCCGTCTTGACAAGGAACTCGTCGGCCACTTGCTGGACCTGCTCCGCCGTAACATCCAACAACCGCTCCCTCCTCGCCTGCAGCATCTCATCCGTAATCCCGCTCAAAAACAGCCTCATGCCCTCCCTGCTAACACTCTGCGGTGCATCATATCCCTGAAACGCGCTGAGCTTCGCCTCCTCCAAATCCTGAGCACTCCAAGCGCGATCTCGAGCCCAGGCGCCGGCCTCGGACATGACTTTCATGGAGTTCGTGGGGTTCGGGTCGCGGTAGGAGTACATCCCGAATACGCCGCCTAGACCGCGCGCGTATGCGCCGCCACCGTACGCGCCGCCCTTCTCCCGAATCTCCGGATGGAGGGATTTGAAGGTGAGCAGTTTGGCGAGGATCTCGAGGGGCGCGCCGGCGGGGTCGGTGTACGGAACGGTGCGCACAGCGCGGGCGGAGTAGTATACCTGGTAGGGGAGGGGAAAGAAGGATTTTGCGTTGCGGGGGTACGTGTTTTCTTGCGTCGTTGTCGGAGCCGAAACGGAGTTTGGTAAGGTGTTGAGGAATTTGGAGAGGGCGTCTTGGTTGGGTGTTGCGGACTCGGCGCCGCAGTTGAGCGCGACGCGGAAGGAGGAGTTGTTCGCGATGACGAAGGATTGGATTGCTTTGAGCTTTTGGAGGATGTCTGCGAGGGACTCGAGGGAGGCGAGGCTGGTGGTGAGCTTGACTTGCGTGAGGCCGCCCGTCTGCTCTGCCAGCCGACCGACGGAGGTGATGCCTGCTTCGGCGTATCGCATGGCATACGAGTGACCAGAGGAAGCGATGTTGTTGACCGCACCGCTTGACGAGGCTTGGAGCAGTTCTCTGATCTTCTTTTCGGCTTCTGGGCTTTCGAAGTCGGTCTCTTGCAGTATTGTGCGCAACAGCTCGTACATGTCGGGGATGTTGCGGTCGAAGGCATAGCCGGAGAAAGCGATGCCTTCCTCGTAAGAGTCGAGCGAAAGAGGCGATTGGTTGGAGTGGTAGCCAATGGAGATGCCTCCCGTCTTGAGCTTGATCAGCTCTTCCAGCTGTTCCATTGTCTTGTTTTTCGTGCCTAAGCGCATGAGGGCGTCTGTGAACAACGGGATCAACTCTCTCAGCTCGTCTGGCAGGTTCTCCAGCCGGTGTACTGCACGGAAGTAAGTCAGTCCGTTCGTAGGGGCCTCACGCCATTGCACCTTGACGTCGCCAATGTCGGTGTGGCGAAGAGGCTTCCTCTCCTTCTCTCGCGGGATGTCCTTGACGTGCACGGTGGGCAGGCAGCTGAGATCCTCGTTCCTTGCCTTCTCCTGAACCTCAAGCAACTCCAGTTCGCGCTTCTCGAGGTACCTCTGCGCCTCCTCTTCGCTTGCAAACCTGCTCGTGGTCTCGGAGATCTTCTGCGCCAGCCGTTGACTTTCTTCCTCGACAAGTTCCTGGCTGTAGGTCTCGGACGGCGTCATGGTGAACGTGAGCGTGTTCTCGGTGAGCAAGTACTTCTCGATCAGGCTCTCCAGGTATCCGTCTTCGGCGTACTTTTTCTGGAAGGCGTCGACTGTTTCTTGCCATGCGAGCGCATCCATTGGATCGATGCCGTTGAACCAGCTAGGCTTCAGCCTTTGCATGATGCCCATGCCAAAACTGGCCGTCTTGTGCTTCAGCGACAGCTCCAACTGGTGAAGAATGCCGTTGACCTTGATCTCGTCGAACCCGTTCTGTCGAGTCTCCTGGAACGTCTTGATGATAGCTTCTCTGACCCTGGGCACGTCCTCGGCCTTGACAGCATCCAGACCAACGGAGAAGACGCCTCTCCGCCCTGCACTGTCGTAGCCGGTGTTAGCGCTGAAGTCCGCACCGAGGCCCGATTCTATCAGATTGCGGTACAGAGGCGATCCGTAACCGTTCATAAGCAGACTGCTGAGAACACCCAACGCAAAGTTCTCGACAGAGTCAGCCGTGTCGCCCATCAACCACGTCACTGATGTCTTGTACTGCTTGTCCTGAGGCACCAGAGGGTCCAGAGGGCCAGGGACCGTGACCTGCTTGGGGCTGTTGAGCTCGATGGGTGCCTTGACTTCCTGGTTGACGTGGATCTTGTCGAAGCTGCGCAAACGTTGGTCCACCTCTCGCAGATGGCCGGCCAGGGGCATGTCTCCGTATGTCAAGATTTTTGCGTTGCTGGGATGGTAGTGGTCGGCGTGGAATTTGCGCAGTTGCTGCCAAGTGAGATCGGTGATCTTCTGGGGGTCGCCACCTGAGTTGTTGATGGCGGGGAACAGGTGGTCCTGGAAGCGGGCGTAGAACAGGTAGCTTGCGTCCGACGTCTGCCCCTTCATCTCGTTGTACACGACGCCCTTGAACACCAGCTTCTTTGCGCTTGGATCGTCCGTCTCCGCTGCCAGCGGGTTCTCAGGCCCGATGCGCCACCCTTCCTGCGTGAAGTCGTTCTCCTTCAGCAGCGGGTGCAGCGTCGCATCGAGGTAGACGGACATGAGGTTCTGGAAGTCTTGTGCGTTTGTTGTGGCGAAAGGGTAGGCGGTGTGGTCGGGGAAGGTCCAGGCGTTCATGAAGTTGGACAGTGACCGCGGCAGCATCTTGAAGAAGGGGTCGCGGATGGGGTACCTGGCCGGCTGTCAGCTGGTGTGCATGTGCAGACACAGGGACTGCCTACTTCTCGCTGCCACAGAGGGTCGTGTGCTCGAGGATGTGCGGCACTCCAGTGTCGTCGGGCGGGTTGGTCTTGAAGCCGATGGAGAAGCAGTTGTTCGCATCGTCGCGCGCGATGTGCAGGTACTCGGCGCCCGTCCTGTCATGCAGCAGGTGGAGCGCAGTCAGCTCCAGCTCGGGCACCTGCTTGACGCGCCTGAGCGTGAAGCCGTGGAGCTGCTCTCCGACCTGCGGAAAGTTGGAGACGTCCGTCACTGCAGCCGTCACTGCAGCATACCCTCGCGAGAGGACGCGCGCGGGTCGCAGGCGGGCAGTCGGCGTCGGCCGAGTATTCCGGAGCTGCAGGCGGGCGGTGCGCAGCATGGTTCGCGATGGTGTCGAGCTGGTCGAGGGACACACGTGGAAAAATGTGAGAAGGGGTTCAAGCATCCGTGAATGACGCCCACGCCTCCCGCCCCGATTGGACGGTGCACATGCTACCGTTCGTCTGGACTAGTCGGCAAAGTGGCCATTACTAAGCTTTCGAGATCGCAGTGCCGTCTGCATGTGCTGCATCTGTGCAGCGGGTATAGGGCACAGCAGTCTGGCATAGTAGCGCTGCAGGTTGGTGTCTGCAGTAGCTGGAGTAGCACTTTGAGGCAAGTGTGGCGGAGATTTGTATGAGGAGCTTGTCCGGTCGAGCGACTAACGACTTTGCACTGGACGCTGGCCCCCTCCACCATTGCTGCATACCGCCCGCGAGACACTGCCCAATCACCCCCTGCCCACCCGGCGCGACCACCGAACTGCACATATCGTCGAGGCCGGCGTATGTCCATAGAGCCCTGTAGCCCGCCTGGAGACCCGCTGCGAGTCCCGACGCCGATCCGAGACGTCAGCGACGAGTCCCTCGTTGCGCGCATCGTGCCCGAGAAGCGCCGCTGCACCGGCGAATGCGCATTCGTGCGCTCTGAAGCGTCGACTCTCGCCGTTCAGACGCCCGCTGACAAGGTTGGCTGCCAGCAGAGGACCGCAGCAGGGCAACTACGACACCGAAGCGCCGCACCGAGCAGCCACGAACCTATGGCCACCGTAGCTCAACAGCGCCAACCGTCCGCTCAGTCCCATCCGCACCCTACCCCGAGTCGCAGCGCCTCGGATTCGCCCTCTCCCGCCATGGCTCCCGCTCAGCACAACCCAGCGCCTGCGCCCGCGAAGAAGGGAAAGGGAAAGAAGGCGACCGACCCGTCAGAGCAGCAGAAGCAGATCCAGGCCAAAATCGCGCAGCTTGAGCTCGACGCCGCAGGAGACAAGGAGCAGGAACTCGAAGTCGGTGGGTCAACTCTTTCCGTTTGTGGTTGGGGGTAGATGAGGGGGGGGGGGGGGGGGGGGGGGGGGCCATGTCGCGTGCCACTTGCAGTGTCTGCATGTTGTGGGGCTGCCGTGGTATGGCAGAGGCAGACAGCGAACAGCACGTCACTGCGTTCTGCGAGGGTCATTGGCTGACTTGTGTCTGTACAGAGCGCGAGGTCAAGAAGGCGAATCGCGAAATCGCATCGCTCCTCTCCAACATGGACGGACCCATGTCCCAGTTGACGGCGCTGCAGAAGAAGTACACTGAGCTACTCTCCGACATGAAGCGAATGGAGCGGGAGCACTCGAAAGCGAAGAAGCGCGGCGACCAGCTTCAGAAAGAGAAGGATGCGCAGAGGTCAGAACTGACCAAGGTCACGACCATGAAGGACAAGCTGGACAAGCTCTCAAGAGACTTCGCCAAGGAGAACAAGAAGCTGAAGGACGAACTGCACAAGCTCGAGAACAGCGAATCAACGGCAAGGCACGAGCTCCACACGCGGCTCGAAACCTTGATCGCGGAAGTCGACGATTGCATTAGAGTGGCCGAAGGACCTGAACGCCAGGATGAGCGCGACATCGAATTGGATGAAGCGTAGGCTGTGCTGTTGTGCGGAGTTGACAACAACGCTGACTGATATCAGGTTTCGACTGAAGTTCAAGTCCTTCATCGACCAGTACGAGATGCGTGAACTGCAGTTTCACTCGCTCCTCCGGACCAAAGAGCTTGAGATACAGTACCAAATGGCACGATTGGAGCAGCAGCGCAAACAACAAGAAGCCGAGTCTTCCAAGTCACACCAGCTGACGAGACAGGTGTCGACGTTCTCGCAAACCGAAACCGAGCTCAGGACCCAACTCAACATCTACGTCGAGAAGTTCAAGCAGGTGAGTCTCCCCAACGCTTCCCATTGTTGTTCTGGTAGCATCTTGGTTAATACTGACTAGATGCAGGTTGAGGAAACTCTCAACAACTCCAACGATTTGTTCCTCACGTTCCGCAAGGAGATGGAGGAGATGTCGAAGAAGACTAAGCGCCTCGAAAAAGAGAACCAGAACCTACAACGCCACAAAGAAATCACGAACCGCAATATCGGGGAGATGGTGGAGGAGCGGCAAAGGATGCAAGAGGAGCTAGCAAGGAAGACGAAAGAGGCGGAGGATCAACGCAAGAAGATCGCTCGCCTCGAGACGCTGTGTCGTGGGATGCAGGCACAGGGACGAGGCCAGGTACCTATGGCGGAGCTTGAAGAGGACGAAGAGGTCACAGAGAGCGAGTACGACTACGAAGACGAGGAAGACGACGAAGGGAGCGGCGAGTACGACGACGACACTGAAGAGGATGCTATCGAACCCCCACCCGAACGTCGACCATTCGGGCCCGTACCACCGCCTCCGCCGCCGCCGCCGCCGCCGCACAACGTTGTGAATGGCAGGATTGCTAGCCATAAACAGCCCAATGGGCAGATAAATGGAGTCAAGCGCTAATTGTCATGTCTTAGAAGTCAAAGTCAGTCCTTCTGGGTAGTCTCCTGCTACTCCCGTACAGCGTCACCTACAGCTGCGAAGCAGATTCCACGAGCACCTTGATCGATGTTTCGTGCAGCTACGCACCACGCCTGTTGTTACGTGCAAAGCAAAAGAACGCCTGGAATTACGACTGGCTTCGCCCAACGTTGTGTATATTATTCTTCGCAAGGCAATGGCATGCAGTCTGACTGCTCATCATCACGTCTCTATCATCTTCCTTCTAGTCGAAACAGCTCGTCTGATAGCAGGTTCTTCACTTTCCAACTTCTCGACATACGAAGGCGATCCTAAGCCCAAGCCGTCAACACGTTCGTTGTGCTGACATTTACAGTCTGGCGATTTTCGGCATCTTAGAATCGCGGCACGGTCTTCGTCATGTGTCGAGTCGAAAGGTCTCTGAGCCGAGGCGTTCAGCGGTGCAGCTCCCCCCCCCGCAAAATCCGCGGCTGACTACAGCCGTTATTTAGCATTGCCAACCCCAGATTCTCCCTGCAGCTCGTACTGGGCTCCATACCTCTGACTTTACGCCGCGCATTCCGTGGTTTGTTCTTACCTCCGCAGTTTTCAAGACCTCTTCTAGTCCGGATCCACACAGTCCATACGCGCTCCACAATGTCGACGCCTTCTCTACAAACGCCGCTCTCGAAGCTCTTAGGGATACAGTACCCTATCATCCTCGCTGGCATGGCACGAACATCCGGCGGCCCACTCGCCGCTGCCGTCTCGAACGCAGGTGGGCTCGGTGTCATTGGAGGACTTGGCTACACGCCCGAACAATTGCAGTCCATCATCGACGATCTCAAGAGCAACCTAAACGACAAGTCACTCCCCTTTGGTGTCGACCTCGCACTCCCTCAAGTCGGTGGTAGTGCGCGTAAAACGAATCACGACTATACACATGGCCAGCTCGACGACCTTATCGAAGTCACGATCAAGAATGGAGCAAGATTGTTTGTTAGTGCTGTCGGTGTACCGCCTGCGCGGACTATCAAGAGGCTGCACGAAGCTGGCATCTTGATCATGAACATGGTTGGACACCCAAAGCATGCGGTCAAGGCGCTAGAAGCTGGTGTAGACATTGTGTGCGCGCAGGGCGGCGAGGGTGGTGGTATGTGAACGCACGAGACATGTGAGTGGAGGATACTGACGTGCTACCAGGACACACGGGAGACATTGCAAACAGCATCCTCATTCCATCCGTCGTTGATGTAGCCCGCAAGTACAAGTCACCACTCACCGGCCAGCCCGCCATGGTCGTCGCAGCAGGAGGCATCTACAACGGCCGCAGTCTCGCCAGCAGCTTAATGCAGGGCGCGCAGGGTGTCTGGGTAGGCACACGATTCGTCGCGTCCACAGAAGCCGGCTGCTCGAAGATGCACAAGGAGAACGTTGTGTCGGCAGACTTCACCGACACAGGGCGAACACTGGTCGTTTCCGGGCGGCCGCTGAGAGTCAAGTACAACGACTACATCAACGAGTGGCACTCGAGAGAAGGCGAGATGAAGGAGTTGTTGGACAAGGGTATTGTGCCCCTTGCCAAGGATATGGATGATGGGAAGGATGTGGACATCCCCTTCCTCATGGGACAGGTTGCTGGCATTATCCAGGATATCAAGCCGGCGAAACAGATTGTGGATGATATGGTGAGCGAGGCGGTGCATATGCTCAAGCTTGGGCAGACGTTCATTGAGGCCGCGCCGATAGGGAGTAAGCTTTAAGGAGCCGAACTAGTACATGTAATGAAGGTCGACAGACCAAGTAGTACCGCTGCGCTGGTTCGAGTCAAAGTTGTGCACCTGAGCAGGGTCTGGCCGTCTGGCCGTCACAGCAAGGATCAATTCTCGTGGGGCTGTCGCACAACAAATTACCACAAAATATTGCTGTGCACCTCGATTCTTCCCAATTGCTTGGAAGAAAAGATCAGTCATCGCCATTGCAAATATAGCTCACGGCTGTCGACGACCCTGTTGCGGCAGGGTGCCGGAGGATCTGCGCTGGGGCTAGGGGGGCAAACACGAGAGTTCAGGAGGTGACGCCGCTCAGTCTCTTGTGATCGTCGACTGCGCAAACTCGCTGCTCAGACTCGCAAATTGAAGCCTCCGGAGAAGTGCGGCCTCCCCGTATTCTTTCGCCAGCGACTCCCCGTTTGATCCCACGCACCACGGCCTGGCTTGTGCGGCCTTCACTACGACGCGGCGCAGGCCAATCGTCCGATCCAAAGGTGGTGTTAGATGACGGCGAAAGCACGCCCGTCTCCACGCACAAGTGGCGCTTCTCATGAATCCCAGGGCCACCGCTGAACAAGCTGCACAGAGAAAGAAGGTGCGTTGCGGGGGGAGGGGGGAGGGGGGGGGGGGGGAGGCATGTGGAGGTAGCGCATGCGCAGCATACTGACAGCCAGCCAGCTCGCAAACTCGTACAAGCAGCTTCTCGAGTAAGTACCCGCACAATCGCGCACGCACGCACGATATACTTACGCGCCCAGTGAATTCGCGGCGGCAGACCTCAAGAGCGTCGGCAACTACACGCTCGGCAAGCTGATCGGCAAAGGCAGCTTTGGGAAAGTCTACTTGGCCTCGCACAAGCTCAGCAATGGCTCCAAGGTGCGCAGCAACCAGATGCTATATATACGCGGCAAAGGGCGTGCTGACGGCAACAGGTCGTGCTCAAGTCGGCAAAGAAAGAAGACGCCAACCTCGCGCGCGAGATCCACCACCACCGCCAGTTCATCCACCCGCACATCGCGCGCCTGTACGAGGTCATAGTCACCGAGGAGCTGGTCTGGCTGGTCCTCGAGTACTGCCCCGGCGACGAGCTCTACAACTATCTCCTGCAAAAGGGCGCCCTCGAGCCCGCCAAAGTCCAGCGCATATTCACCCAGCTCGTCGGCGCAGTTTCCTATGTTCACAACAAGTCCTGCGTCCACCGCGACCTGAAGCTCGAGAACATCCTGTTGGATAAACATGGCGATGTGAAGTTGGTTGATTTCGGGTTCACGCGCGAGTATGAGGGGAAAAGCAACTATCTGCAGACTTGGTGTGGGACGGTGTGCTACAGCGCGCCGGAGATGCTGAAGGGCGAGAAGTACGCGGGCGAGAAAGTCGACGTGTGGAGTCTGGGTATCATTCTTTACGCGCTGCTGGTGGGCGAATTGCCGTTTGACGACGACGACGAGATGGTCACGAAGATGAAGATACTGAAAGAGGAGCCCAAGTACCCGGACAGCTTTCCACCGCAGGCAAGGGAGCTGTGCCAGTCGCTGCTCTCGAAACGACCTATCCTGCGACCGACGCTGGCTGATATACTTCAGAACCCCTGGCTGTCGGAGTATGCGCCGCGCCAGCAGGAGACGTTGAAGCTGCAACAGCCTGCGCCTTTCTCGACGGAGCTGGAGAAGGAGGTGCTGCAACGCATGCGAGCTGCCGGAGTCGACATCGACTTGGTTATAGAAAACGTCCTGGCGCAGCGCTGCGACTCGTTGGCAGGATGGTGGGCATTACTGCTAGAGAAGGAGGAACGCAAAGCTAAGAGAAGAGAGCGCAAACGCAAGGAGCGTGAGGCTGAGGCAAAGAGCTTGAGGAGACTGAGTGCGGCTAGCAGTCGCCTTGACAAACTTGCGCCAACTATCAGAGAGACAGATGAGGAAGGTCAGCATTACCCATTCCTTGGAGATCCGCCCAAGAGTCGGGGGAGGTCGATCAACCGGCGGAGTACGCATGGTAAATATGTGAGCTTGCCGACCGGTGTGCCTGTGTTAACGAGTGTCCCAGGTGCTCCTCCTGTTCCAGACCTGCCAGATCTCCCAGAGTCAAGCTCCAGTCCAAACTTCGTCGTCGAGCAACCTCCAACGCCCATCGACAGAGGCTACGCGCGACAATCAAACTCATCTTCTCGTCCCCCACTGCCAGCAAAGGATCTCGACAGACACAAGAGGAGATCACACAACAGCATGTTACAAGTCGTGGGCAGCAATCCCGACCTCCTCCATCCCAATGGCTTTGTGCCCAAGCGCCGCCAAAAACAACCGTTCATCAACCACCTTCTCTCCCTCCGAAACTGGATCAAGGAAACCTCAAAACGCGCGCGCTCCCCAAACTCCAAAGCCAGCAGCGAAAAATCCCCCAAAATCCCCGAAAGCACACGTTCCCAAGGCGACTCGCGCAGCGGCCGACGCACCAGCAACGCAAACCGCAGCTCGGTCTACACACACCCGCCCCCATCAACGCACAACGTGCCGCTCCGCCCACGCGTCACAACGCACGGCTCGGGCTCGATCCGCAGACTCTCCGCCTCGCCCGCGCCGCTGACACCACGCTCGTCCTACCGGCGCTCATCCGGCGGCCTGCGCGGCCGCAAGTCGACGAGCAGCTCGGTGAGCAGTATAAGGAGTATGCCGCACCACCACCACACGCACAGCAAGGCGTCGTCGACGAGCAGTGCGTCGATTGTGAGTCCGAGCGTGTCGACTGTGAGCGGGCACATCAGCAGTCATAAGACGAAGAGTGCGCACAACAGCATCAAAGTCCTCCCTGCAACACCCACATCCTCCACCTTCCCCTCTAACATCCGACTCGTCCGCGCCGGCGCGCCCTCGATCGGTATTTCCACGCTGAACGAAGGCGGTGCAGCGTTCGGCACCGCACCGCCTCCCTCGCCCGGCATCATGTTCGCCAAGCGCAAACGCTCGCCCTTCAAAGGCCCCAACATAGGAACTGGAAACACAACCAACCCGTGGCGCAGCAGAAGCGGTGGCGAGGCGGGGAGCAGGGGTGCGAGTGTTCAGGGTCGGCGCAGCGGCGAGATCATAGGTATCACAGAAGAAGAAGAGGAGGAGGAGGAGGAGGAAGAAGAGATCGAAGAAGTCGACGACTTCAGTCCCGGGCTCAAGCCGGGCGAGTTCATTGTCGATGTTAATGATGACGCGGAGGAGAGGTCGCCGCCTCCGCCTCCCAAAGCGTAGGAGGAGGACGGGAGGGTGTACTTGTTGGTTTGACGGCATTCTCGGTGTTTTCTCGTAGAACAGTGCGGGTTGACGCTTTTCTGCTTGTTGTGCTTGTTGTTCTTCTTGGGTACAAAACGCCCGCCATGTCTTACATATTGCCCTTTTCTTTTTTTTGGTTTACTTTTTGCTACGGTTGCCTTTTTTCTTCTTCCTCTTCTTCCTCTTCTTCCTCTTCTTCCTCTTCTTCTTCTTCTTCTCCGCGCTTAGATTGCCCTCTGTATTTCGTTTCGTTGCGACTAGATACCTCGCCTATTGTTACCCCCCGTTTGTCGAGATCAATCACGCTTTGTCCATGTCCAAATCCCGCTGCTGCCTTTGTTTTCGAGTGACGAGATGACGCAGGGCGAGCGAGCGTCTTCAGCGCCTCGCACCCGTACGATACCGTCACCGAAAGCTGATGCATCGCGGCACCACCACAGTGACGTCCAAAACGAAGAAGACCGACACTCGGTGGCTCAGTAGGCAGACCAGTGCGGCTACATGGCATGTACTACGGGAAGGCACACTTCACTTAGCTTCCGGCTTCGGTGGAAGTGTGGCTTACTTCAGTGATGCCAAAAGTACGAGACTATCGCGGTATATTTTAGCCTTGACCGTTCCGGATGTACCATCACCGCAATTGAATTTGATGCCCTCAATATTATCTGCGACGTTGCGATCGTACTAAGTATCTCTCAAGAATCGCATCTTCAACGTTGCGATGCGATAAAGCGGTTGAAAGGGTAGCCTGGACGTAGTCAGACTTCTGGCACCATGGGGATAGTCATGCAACACACCTGAAAGAAGATGGCGTGTTGGGCCTGTGGCAGCTATCTACTTGTGTGTCAACTACCAGAAGTCTGCCTCATGATATATCTCCATCGATTCCAGAGATTCGGGGGACGACGAATAACCAGCCGGAGCCTTCATCTTCCTGACCTTACGCGCACGCTTTTCCTTGATATAGCTCTACTCTTCCCAAGGTCTCAGGTACAGTCGCCGAAGCCAAGCCTCCAACATTCGAGTGACCTCATTCAAGATTTCTTTGATAGGATCGCGTCGGCGAACGGTCATCCTTGGCGAGTCACTCCATTCCTACTCATTGCTGACTGCCTGCACCAGCGCGCCCTTCTCCATCTCATCCAGCTCGTTCAGCTTGGCCATGTCGTCGTTGTCGAGCTCGAAGCCGTAGAGGTCCGCGTTGCTCTCGATTCTGGAGGGCGTGTCGCTCTTAGGGAGGGGCACGAAGCCGCGCTGCAGACTCCAGCGTACGAGGACTTGGGCGTCGCTCACGTTGTGCTTCTTTGCGATGCTTTGGAGTGTCTGGTCTTGCGCCTTTTGGTTGCGGACGAGCGGGCAGTAGGCTTCGACGACAATGTTGTTCTTTTGGCAGTACTCGACGGCTTCCTTCTGTTGGCACCAGGGGTGGAGCTGGCATACGTTAGTGGATCGAGATTCGAACACGATAGCCGACGTACCTCGATCTGGTTGATGGCAGGTGGCCAGACCTTGCCAATCTTCTTGATCTCCTCAATGTGACCGATGCCATAATTACTGACACCAATCTCGCGTGCCTTACCCTCTGACTTGGCCTTCTCCAGCGCGAGCCACATCAGCTTCCTCTTCTCCGGCCCTGCGTTAGGGCTGTGAATAAGGAAGAGATCCACGTATCCATCCTTGCCAGAGAGTTTCTCGACGCTCTCCAACACACTCTTGTATGTCGATTCGACGTCGTTGCCCGGGCTGAGGATCTTGGTGGTGAGGTAGACTTCCTCACGCTTGAGGCCAGATTCCTTCAGCGCCTGTCCGACTTGCTCTTCGTTCGCATAGTACTGTGCCGTGTCGATGTGTCGGTAGCCAGCCTTCAGAGCTGTGAGACAGGACTTAACGCATGTCTCTGGGGGCGATTGGTAGACACCGAAGCCTAGTTGGGGGATCTTGTGGGAGGAATTGGGGAGAGGGAGTGTGGAGTTCAAGCTGAGCTTTGACATGGTGGAGGTGTTCTTAGTGATAGTTGAATAGCGATGAGATATGCGAGTGAATGCTGGGTTGAAGATGGCAAAACGTGATGAGCAGATCAATCGAGAGGTAGTGAACATGAGAAGAAGCTGCAGAGTGGACAGATTGTTCCTGCCCCGGCAGCTCTAAACGCCACCCTGCGCACACCAGGCGCTCGTCTAGGTAGTCCTGATGTCATTGTATTGGAGCTCGTTGAGCTTGACTGTGGGTCGTTTTAGTGAAGTCGAGCTTTACGTGATGATTGAAGACGAATTCGAAGGTTGTTTGGACTGGAGAATATCGTCATAGAGCTTCTTGTGGTCTTTGTAGAAGCTCTGCTCTATACTTGCTTGTTTACTTGTTGTTGCCCCTCCATCACGCTTCGTTGGTGGGGCAAGACCCCACGTCAGAAACGTGTTGCTCGCGTTGGGCAATCGCGACCCAAGCTCGCCATCTTGAGTTTTTGCCTTGACAGAAAACGCTTCAACCAACTTCAGAATCAACAACATGGTGCTCCAAGCGATCAAGTACACGCGGGGTCAGCTCGAAATTCTCGACCAGCTTAAGCTGCCTCATGCCGAAGGGTATGATCACATCTACTCCAGCACCGATGCATGGCATGCCATCAAAGAGATGCGAACTCGAGGAGCACCCGCGATTGCCATTGTTGCTGCTCTTGCTTTGGCTGTCGAACTCACAAACATGAAGCTCTCGTCGGTGGCGGAGGAGGTACAAGTTTTCATCACGGAAAAGTTGGACTACCTGGTCACAAGCCGACCAACTGCTGTGAACCTTGCAGATGCGGCAGGGAAGTTGAGGAAGATTACTGAAGACGCTGCTAAGAAAGAGGGAGCCAGTGGAGATTTTGTGAGGGAGGCGTATGTCAAAGCTGCAGAGCAGATGCTCGTCGATGATGTGAGCGACAACGAGAACATTGGCAAGCACGGCGCAGAGTGGATTGTGAAGAACACAGAAGCTGGCAAGAAAGGGCCAGTAAGCATGTTGACGCATTGCAACACTGGGTACGTGCTCGTCCCCGAAGTTCGGTGACATCACTGAACTCTCTAGGTCACTTGCAACTGCAGGGTACGGAACTGCTCTGGGTGTCATCCGGTCGCTGCACTCCAGTGGGTCACTGAAGCATGCATTCTGCTCAGAAACCCGTCCATACAACCAAGGTTCGAGGCTGACTGCTTTCGAACTGGTACATGACCAGATACCGGCCACCTTGGTCACTGACTCCATGGCAGCGGCCCTGCTTCGACTCAGAGGCGGCAGCGAGAACATTGCTGGCATCGTTGTCGGTGCCGATCGTGTTGCTGCGAACGGTGACACTGCGAACAAGATTGGTACTTACTCTTTGGCTATCCTTGCGAAACACCATGGAGTCAAGTTCCTTGTCGCTGCACCAAGAACGACTATCGACCTGAAGACCAAATCTGGAGCAGACATCGTCATCGAGGAGCGAGCCGGCAAGGAAGTGACTCTGATCAAGGGACCTCGCCATGATGGCGTCAACTTGGATCTCGCAGTAGTGGAGACTGTCAGCATTGCAGCGAACGGCATTAACGTATGGAACCCTGCGTTCGATGTTACCCCTGCCGAGCTCATTGATGGTATCATCACCGAGGTGGGCGTATTCGAGAAGGACAGCGAAGGCATTTTCCATTTGGAGGAGGCTTTCCAGGCCAAGGGTTCAGAGGTGAAGCCCTCGACGATTGGAGGCTTGTAGATGGATTTGTGGAGATGCGAGTATATAGATACCCAATATAGACAAAGTGCACTGTTGTTCTGAAACGACAGTGTCAAGCTCCTAACCATTTCCCTCCATTATCCGTCCGCTTACATGCACCTGATCATTGTGATCATCGAACTCGTGGGTATCGTTACGTTGGGCTCGCTGGACTGCCTAGGCCGGGAGCTGTGTAGCTTGTTGAGGCGCACTGCTTGGCAGAGAATAGCTCTTGTTTGTCTGCCTCTTATCTATGCTGCTAGCTTCGAGCAGTGGACACTGCTTTATGAGCTCTCAGGTTGACCCTGGGAAGAAGGCTTCTCGCTCGTCGAGGCACCGGTCTGCATGTCCTTCTCAGCTTTCTCAGCCTGCGCCAGAAGCTCTTCAATCTTCTTCTCCAGCGAGTCCAGATGGCTCTCCAGTGCAGATGCGGTTCGTTCGCCTCGAGCAAGCTCCTTCATTGCCTATGGCAGCCGTCAGGAGTTATTACGGCATTCTAAGAAGCTCCCTACCTCGGCGAAATCAGCTTCTGCGTTTGGTGCAGATGCTCCATTTTGGTCGTGCGACATAGTGGATGTGGTGCAGGGACGTTACTGTTGCGGTGGCTCAGTCGCACGCGCATTCGTACCCAATGCTGGATGACGAAGCTCGTGCCCTAGCGCAAACGGGACCTGGAGAAGCAACAGCACAGACAGGCACCCAACCTTATACATCACCCTCTCCACCCGTTCGCGTGCGATTCCTCCTGCACTTCTAATAATAACTCGCATGCGAAACACGCGAGCCGTCTAATCGACCCGCGACCGCTCGCACACGATGTTTTCTGGGTCCAATTCGTACTTAGGGGGCGGGAACAGTGCTCGAGGGCCGCCGCAGCCTCAGTATGGCCAGCAGCAGCAGTTCGGCCAGCAGCAGGGCTTCCAGGGCGGGATGCAGCCCCAACAGATAGGCTTTGGAGGAGGCTCAATGCAGCCAATGCAGCCAATGCAGCAGCAGTTCACAGGCTATCCGGGCCAGCCGCAGGGCTTTGGACAGCAGCAGCCTCAGCAGACAGGCTTCGGACAGCAGCCCCAGCAGCTGCAGTCGCAGTTCACGGGCTACCCTGGGCAGCAGCAGAACCAGGGCTTCCAGCAGCAAGCTCCCCAGCAGCAGCCCTTCCAGACCGGCGCACCACAGCAGCAACAGCAGCAGCAGCAGCAGCAACAACAAGTTCCCCCGCAGCCGCAGAGACCCCAGGCCACGGGCATGACCTCGTCCGCCATGGCCGATTCTTTCAGGGGAACTTCGTCGTCAGTTCCGCCGCCCGTGCCTGCAAAGACAGGGAGCAAGATCCCCAGCATACGGCTGTCGTTCATCACGGCGCAGGATCAGGCCAAGTTCGAGCAGCTGTTCAAGTCTGCTGCAGGAGACGCCCAGGCTCTGTCAGGAGACCAGGCGCGAGACTTGCTGCTGCGGTCGAAGCTGCCAGGAGATGCGCTGGGACACATCTGGACGCTGTCTGACACTACCAAGTCAGGGCAGCTTCTGTTCCCCGAATTTGCCCTTGCCATGTACCTTTGTAACCTGAAGTTAACTGGTAAAGACCTCCCGAACACTTTGCCTGACCGTGTCAAGAACGAAGTGTCAAGTATGGTCGACATCATCTCCTTCAACACCGCCGACGACCAACCGAGCCGTCCTACCCCAGCGAGCAATGCTCCCTCGTTCAATGAGCCTCCCACGATTCAGCAGCCGCAACCGCAGCAATCGAACAGCCAACTGCTCTCCTCGTTGGCTCCTCAGCCAACCGGATATGGCCAGCAGCCTATGGGCATGCAACCCACGGGCATGCAGCCACAGCAGACTGGCTTTGGTCAAGGCATGGGAGGTGGCTACAACGGCCCGCGTCCTCCAATGCCACCAATGCCCACTGGGTTCGGTGGTAACAACCTGACTCCTCAACAAACTGGTATGGCGCCTCTCAACGCTCAGCCAACAGGCATGCCTGGCCAGTGGGGCCTCGTTAACACGCCTTCCACTGGACTCCCCAACATCGAGGCACTAGCAGGGCGTATGATGCCGCAGACCGGCCGTGACGCGGGCAGCCAGCAGACTACTAGTGGACTCACTGGTAACGCGACTATTCCTTGGGCTATCACAAAGGGAGAGAAGAAGCTGTACGACGACACCTTCAGAGCTTGGGACGGCATGGGCAAAGGTTACATTGCTGGTGCGCAGGCTATTGAGATCTTGGGTCAGAGTGGTCTACCAAAGCCAGACTTGGAGAAGATCTGGACACTTGCTGACTCGGCGGATCGTGGCCGTCTCAACTTGGACGAATTCGCCGTCGCAATGCATCTTATTTACCGCAAGCTGAACGGATACCCTGTGCCAAACCGTCTGCCTCCCGAGTTGGTCCCACCCTCTACGCGCAACATCAACGATTCGATCGGCGCAATGAAGAATCTGCTTCGTGGCGATGCTGAAGACAGAAAGAACTCTGGGGCGTTCCTTCAGCCGCAGCGTACTGGTGTCAGCTACCTTAAAACTCACTCGTTCCGTTCCGGGAGTCCAGCAGCAGGAGGCCGAAAGGATGCTACCGTCTTCCGAAACAACGACGACAATGCTGGTTACCGCTCAAGCGCAAGACACCGTGTTGGCGCTGGTGGCCGCTCGCCTTCGCCTGCTTCCGGCGCATCTTCACCTACCTCTGGACGTCCAGACGAGATGTCTTTGGAACAGCTCAGGAAAGCAGTCAAGGAGAAGCAGATCCTGCTGGACGCTATGGACACCCAGGACGAGAACGCTGCTGATGAGGATGACGCTCTCGATCGCCGAGACCGCAAGGAGGCTGACGATCTATACCGCCGCATTCGCAGAGTCCAGGAAGACATCGATGCTCATCCTAAGGCATCCCTACACGGCGGCGATTCTGACGCCGAACGCCGTGCGCTCAAGCGACAGCTACAGACTTTGACCGACCGTCTGCCGGAAGTTGCTTCCAACGTGCGCCGCATTGAGCGTGAGATTGCTGATGCTCAGCTCGAGCTTTTCAGGCTGAAAGATGCTAAAGCGCATCCCGGATCCGCATCTACGATTGTCGGAACGGGACCTGGCGGTGCGGTGACAGAGTCAGACCGATTGAAGGCACGTGCTAAAGCTATGATGCAAGCACGTTCTGCTGCTTTGACCGGCAGGCCTGCCCCTGCTACTGACGATACAGGTGCAGCAACTGAGCGCTTGGAGAAGGAGCAGTCCCGAATCCGATCTGAGAAGGAGAACAATGAGCGCATGATTCGCGACATAGAGGATAGTGTCAACGAGTATACCAAGGGACTTGAGGCCAGCCTCAAGGAGGGTGGACATGACAACCGCAGCGAGCACGAGCGGCGCAGATGGGAAGAGGCTCTCGGTGTTGAGGATGAGGTCAAGGACTTCATCTTCGATTTGCAGCGAAGCAGCCGTGCTGCTCGCGTCCGCAAGGAAGACAAATCTCGTGATACTGGTCGCGCTTCTTCGCGCACTAATGAGACCCAGTCTACTTCTCGCTACGAGAGTCCTGCGCGTGCCACAGAGTCTCCACGTTCGACACCTACACCCGGCGGTGCATCTTCGTACAAGACACCAGCAGAGCGAGCTGCGTTCATTAAGCAGCAAGCTGAGCAACGCATGGCTGAACGTCTGGCTGCTCTGGGTCTCCGAGCTCCAGCCAAAGCTGGCGAGACCCCTGAGCAGCGTGCAGAGCGCGAGAAGAAGGAGCGCGAGGCTAAACTTAGACAAGCTGAAGAGGAAGATGCTCGCCGCGAGCAAGAAAGACAGAGAAGGCTCGAAGGCGAGTCCACGGCGCCTCCAGCTCCGGCCAAGGCAGCTGGCAAGAAGCCGGCTCCTCCTCCACCAGCCTCGCGCAAGAACAAGGCCGATGTTGCACAGCATGATACAGAGCAGGCGGAGGCTGAAGCAAAGAGGGCAGAGAACGAGATTGCTGAGCAGGCCCTAAGGGAGCAGCAGCAAGCTCAGGAAGCGGAGACTAAGCGCATGGAGTAAGTCAAAGAAGAAGTAAGGAAGGACCATCACTAACAGCTGCACTAGGGAAGAAGAGCGCCGACAAGAAGATGAGCTGGCCAAGGAGCGCGAGGCTGCCCAAGCCCGGCTCAAGGCTCTGGAGGAGCAGGTACAACAAGGCAAGCTCAAGAAGGCAGAAGAAAAGAAGCGTAGAGCTGGCGCACAGAAAGAACAACAGGAGAAGGAGGCCAAGTTGGCTGCACAGCGTGCCGAGATCGAAGCTGCTCGTGAACGTGAGCGACAGTTGCAGCTCCAATTGGAGGCTCTCGATGACGAGGACTCTTCTGACGACGAGGGTCCTCAGCACATCACCCCGCAAGAGTCCACTCCTACTGCGAGTCAAGAACTTCCACGAAGCACAGCACCGCCGCCTGCGCCACCTATGCCGCAGCTTCCAGGGTCGTTCCCAAGCCCTCCCGCATCGTCGGTCACCAGTCCTCACCCTGTTGCTGGTGGTGAGACAACCAACCCCTTCTACAAGAAGATGGCCATGTCTACCCAGGACAATAACACACCGCCACCTCCAGCTAGCAACACCAGCGAGTTGTCGACGAACCCGTTCCACCGCTTGACGCAGGAGCAGGCTAACAAGGCTGCCGCGCCAACTTTCAACGAACCTGCTGCACCATCAGCTCGCACTCGTGGACGACAGGACGATGATGACTGGTCTGTCGTTGATTCGGACGATTCGTCCTCGGACGAGGACGAAGCACCTACACAGGGAGGTGCCAAACACCTGGCTTCAATCCTGTTTGGCACAATGGCACCACCACGTCCATTGTCGTCGATGGACAACAAGGACTCCCCTGCTCAAAGCCCAGCTCCACCAGCGGGCATTCCACCGCCTCCGCCAATGCCTGCAGGCTCTGCTCCTCCTCCACCTCCAGGACCACCACCGCCCCCTATGGGAGGTGCTCCTCCGCCGCCACCGATGCCTCAAATGAAGGCACCTGGTGGTCTGCCAGATCGCGGAGCTCTTCTTGGTCAGATTCAGGCCGGGAAGGGTCTGCGCAAGGTTGAGACGAAGGACAGGAGTACTTCAACGACGGCCGGTAAGGTCTTATAGAGTGTGGGAAGTAGTGTCTGTAGATAGATTATAATATTGATGTTGCTCTCTTGATACTCAAGTACCGTGTTTGTGAATCTTGGAATACCCACCAGCAATCATTACGATGCTCGGATCCGAGAGCCTTGTCGCCTAACGGCACTCTCAAAGCGAGTGGATCGGACTCCAGTCACTGGAGACGTGCGGGAGAGCGAGGATCTGGGGAATGTGGGACAGTCCGCAACAGCGGGGCCTCTTGACCTTAAGCCAACGTCGCATGCTGTTTCCCAAGATCTCTTCACGATCTAGGGCCATAATATCGAGTATCGCATCAGGTACTCTACACTCTCAACGATTCAAAACAACAAATGCGAAAAGGTGCAAGCCACCAATTCAGAACAGTCGAACCATGACTCTTCCGCGGAGCGCACTGAGTGCACCAATGCTAGCACCTCTCACGAACGGACAGCAGACACGATCCAAGCTCGGAGCATGCCGCACAGATTGCTCACAGATGCATGACATCGTAAAGAGCGAATTGATAATTGCATTTGAATTTCCGATGCCGCATTCGTTTGTTGCGTGCACCTATCAGACACGTCGGAGGGAGCTTGCCACCGACCCTCCACTTATCTCCGCTGTGGCGTGCTTTCTCCCGCGCTCAAGCTCGCCTTGACCCTGGACAAGCCTTTTCTGGCACAGTTCACCGGCATAGGAGTCCTGTGATCGGTGAGTTGGTCCAACATATGGATGCGACACGCTTCTCCCCGCTGCTTGGCTTCTGGATACACCTCCGACTTCCCGGGTTTGTTCTTCAATAGATACGGCTGTTCGAACGCACCACTACAGGTGCCCTGTTCAGAAGCACAAAACAGTTGTGTCACAAGACGTAGAGTAACAGGTCGTCAAAAGTTGCCCACCAGCGGTAAGTTGGCTTAAGCAAGGACTACCCTATCTTACTACAGAAGCTTCAAAAGTGTAGCCTTGCTTCAGCATACTAACACATCATGCAGCAGTACACTCCTTCACAGCTTCCACAATGGCAACACCAGCAACATTTTCAAACCCTACACGAGAGGCACAAGACCTTAATGAGAAGGAGAGTGAAGCATACCAGCAAGGCCAAGATGCCGACACATTCACTGCAGATGTAGAGAAAGGCGCACAAAGCCAAGCACTATCAACACACACAGGCGAACACACACTAAGCGGTGATGCGCCCGTACACGAGGAGGCACGGGATCCAAACGTTGTTGACTGGGACGGGCCTGACGATCCTGCGAACCCTCTGAACTGGCCGGCAAAGAAGAAATGGTCTATCATTGCTGCACTGGGAGCTGTTACATTCATCACACCGCTCGCGTCATCGTTCTTTGCGCCTGGTGTGCCGCAGGTTATGCGTGCTTTCGAGGAGCAGTCGAATCTGATGGCTACATTCGTCGTGTCTGTGTACCTTCTCGGGTTCGCTATTGGTACGTTGATTCTATGATAGCTTCAACACCCAAACTGACATTTGCTCCAGGCCCTCTTGTAATCGCACCCATGTCCGAGATGTACGGACGCATGCCCATCTACAACATCTGCAACGTCCTCTTCATCATCTTCAACATCGCCTGTGCCCTTTCAAACTCTATGGGAATGCTCATCGCCTTCCGACTCCTTGCTGGTTGCGCCGGTGCTTCACCCCTCACACTTGGAGGCGGCACAATCGCAGACATATTCCCACCCCAGCAACGCGCGGGCGCCATGGCCATCTACTCCGTGGGGCCCCTACTCGGTCCCATCATCGGTCCCGTATGTGGTGGTTTCCTTGTCGAGTCTCTCTCCTGGCGCTGGGTATTCTGGATCCTGGCCATCTTTGGCGGCGTCTTCAGTCTCTCGTTCGCGTTCCTCGGCCACGAGACCTTCCACCAGACCATTCTGGACAAGAAAGTCGCTCGTCTCCGTAAGGAGACAGGGAACATGGAGCTCCGCTCGAAACTCAACAACGGGCTTCCGCCTAAGGAGGTCTTCACCCGCGCTATTGCGCGCCCGATGAAGATGCTCTTCTTCTCGCCCATTGTGTTCCTCATGTCGCTCTACATCTCCGTCAACTACGGTATCTTGTACCTGTTCTTCACGACCATGACGTTCGTCTTCGAGGGCCAGTATCACTTCTCCTCTGGCGCTGTCGGACTCGCATATCTTGGTATGGGCGTGGGTATGATTCTGGGCATGGGTGTGCTGGGTACAATGTCCGACAAGAACATTAAAAAGCACCAGGCCAAGGGTAACGCGAAGCCTGAGCACCGTTTGCCTATGTTTCTTACTATTCCTGGCGCTGTTAGTTTGCCGTTGGGGATTTTCTTGTATGGGTGGACCACGTATTATGGTGTGCATTGGATTGGTAAGCCCTCACTTCGTTCCCTTACCTTTCTCTTCCTGTTGGGGAGATGGCTAAGACACCACAGTCCCCATCATCGGCACAGCTTTCATTGGCGTCGGCAACCTCACTGCCATGATGACCATCCAGACCTACCTCGTTGACGCCTTCAACGTGCACGCCGCGTCAGCCATCGCCGCCAACACCGTTCTTCGCTCTGTTTTCGGCGGCGTGCTGCCCCTCGCTGGGCTCGACATGTACGACAAGCTCGGTTTGGGCTGGGGTAACTCGTTGCTCGGGTTTGTTGCACTGTGCTTTATCCCTGTGCCTGTGCTGTTCAGGTTGTATGGCGAGAGGATTAGGACGAACCCTAAGTTTCAGGTACAGTTCTAGGTTGATAGTTGTGAAGTAGAGAAGAGGGGGAAGAACGTTAGGAGTGAGTGCATTGCATAGCATGGCGAATTTGCATGATAGAAAGTCTTTTACGCAGTATATACCCCTATAGTATAATCATTGTAATCAAAGATGTGGCATGGTTTGTTTGAGCTGAGTCGTGTGCGGTAGTTCCAGCTCTTTGTGATCTCTGTGAAAGGCAAGGTTGCGCTGGAAGTTTGACTTGGACAGAACACAGTCTTCAATATGAGTTTTGCATCCCATCAGTGTCTGCATATAGTGAGCTTTCTTGGGCGAAGAAGATGCAAGTGCAGTCATGTTCCTACTTCTAGCTTAGACGTAGCACCCAAATCCTCATGTATTTGTCTGATTACGCATGGCACACGTCCGTGCAGGAGGACATGGCTCAAGACGTGCTTGCAGTTCTTGCGCTGATTTCCGGAACCACCTATTGACATTAGCCCATGCTCGTGACCGCTGCCCAGCCTTTCATCAACGTGTCCATTGCTGCAAGTAGTGTTGATTTCGAATTCCATTGGTATGTGCCCTCAACCTAGGTGTAATGTGCTGTATGCACAGAGATGTTGTACGCCAGAACGCCGCGCCCTATGTCCAGTGAAAGGCTTAAATCGAAAGAATACAAAGTGCTTTTGTGAAGCATGCCTGGTGCTCGATTCTCGTAGCACGTTATGCCATTTTCTCTTCATAACCTGTAATTGTTTTGGCGGCGGGTATGAGGACTCGAAGGAGGTGAGTTAAGGAACTCGGGAGTCGTGAAGCGTGGCTTAGAAGAACAGCTTCAGGATCTCAAAGAGCAGACCTCCGCAGAGGACGAAAGCGAGGACGACTGTCCATACATTAGCGTCTTGCCCTTCATATTTCTTGAACTCTAGATGCACATACTGATCCAGATCTTGCTGATTGGGCTCTTCTGAGGCCCCCTCGGCTTCACAACTTGTGCAGTCTCGGGCTTGCCCATCTTTCTCTCCTGTGACTTGGCGAAGCGCATGTTCGCCTGGCGCTGCTGTGGTGTTTGTGCCTAACCATCTCGTTAGCCAATCCCAGCTTCATTCGGCGGAATTGTCCCGATGTGGAGGACCATAGCAGCCAGGGGAACTAGCGGGTAGCGTACCATTGTGATGGATGGTGTGCGGTTTGACTCGCGGAGAGAGAGTTATGGGGGAGAGAGTGGTGGAGGAGGAGAAGGGAAGAGTGAAGGAGAGAGGTAAAAAGGAACGAGCGCGTGGTGTCTGAGTTGTGAGTAGGGATGGTGATGCAAGGTGTTCCTTCGGAGTTTCCAGAGCTTGGACCCGGCGCTAGTGCGGAGCGTGGGCGGAGGTTTGATTGTGATCCATGAATGCACTTGAGCTTCGACCGTCCGTCATCACAATCCCAAAATCTCCAATCCGAAGCTCGAGAATATCAAGTCATCGTCGCCAAGCTTTACACTTTGTAGACAGGACATCCATTTTCAATTCAAAGCGGCGACACGCAAGAGCCGGCCCTATACACACAATCAAACATGAACACCACCAGAGCAACACAATTGCTTCGCCTCAGCGCGACCCGCCAAACTCTCACACGGACAACACGGCGGAACCTATCAATCGAGCCCCAGACGCCCCCACCGCAACCACCCAAAGAGCCCTCCAAAGTCGGCGCCTTCTACAAATCCTTCTCCGCACCCATCCTAAAATGCTTCCTCGGCGCGCTCTTCACATACCAACTGGCGTACTTTGGGTGGATGAAGCTTGAGACAATAGAGGAGGCGCACGAAAAGAAGAGCGAAATCAAGGGTCTGCAGGAGGAGTTGGCAGGCGCGATAAATAGCAAGAGGAGGGAAGCTGAAGGGATGGTAGATAGGGTTGGGGAGAAGGTTGGAGAGGTCAAGGACAAAATGCTTGAAGGAACAGAGGGTGTAGGTGTTGCTGGGAGGGTGAAGAAGGGCGGGTGGTGGCCTTGGTGAGCAGACTGAAGCAGTCTTGTTGAAGAGAGGAGACGTGTGGATTGTAAGATGTGCGTGTACGGTATGAATATGACACATTGGTGATACTCAGATTAAGAATGGAGGTAAACATCCTGTTTGAAGACCCCAGCACTCAGCTACTCCAGCTGAACCCCCCCCCCCCCCGTCACCCTCGTCTACGACAGTTTAATCGGTTAGAACGCATTGGCGCCCAGAGGTGGCTAATGCTATGTAAGACGAAGAGTGGACTCCAAATGTGGGCTTGCACGATGGGAACTTTCAAAATTTCGATCGAACCTCGAAAAGCAACCTCTTTTGCAAACATGGCTGAAGTCGAGACATACGAAGCAGCCTCCACGTCATCGCCGGGTACTAACTTGGCCGGTATCCCAGTGGCGCATCTTGACTTACCAGGGCCCTTTATATCGTACGGCCTGCCTTACCACCATGCCATTTGCGAAACATGTTCAGCAGACCTACAATGCTTCGAAAATATTCGTTATTGCATCCGGATCTCTAAGCCAGAGTACAGATAAGCTGGACCTCCTTGTAAATGCACTAGGCAAAGACAAGATCGTCGGCGTCCAGAAAGGCATGGCATCGCACTCACCATGGTCCGAGATCCTCTCCGTCACAAACCCAGCGAGATCAAAGGACGCAGACTGCATCGTCACCCTCGGCGCTGGCAGCTTGACAGACGCAGCAAAACTCAGAACCCCCTCACAGCTCGCCACCAACGTCCTCGGCAGCCCAAATCCGCCAGCAACCATCACCCGCCCGACTATCCCTCTAATCACCATGCCCACCACACTCTCATGCGGCGAGTACTTCGCACTCGCCAGCGGCATCAATGACGCCACCCAGCTGAAAATCGGCTTCGTGCACTCTGGCATGGGTCTCAATCTCGTAATCCTTGATCCATCGCTATGTCTCACGACACCAGTTTATCACTGGCTGTCCACCGGTGTTCGAAGCTTCCTTGCGTAATAGTCCCTCCAATAGAACTAGATGCACGGCTAACACCAGTCGTCGTACGCATAACCCCAGCTTCGTCAGTGTCCGTTGGAATAACCGTATCGAAGTTTGGTCCTCGCAGCTTTGCAGTAAATCTATGTAGGGCAGCAGAGTTTGATTTTTCGTAGCCACCGTACAGCTCCTCGCCACATTGATTCTGATAGGTCAGACTCCTCCAGAAAAGATACAGAAGGTTCAGGTACTCTCTTGAGGCAACGTGATTGGAAACATCATAGGTTAATTATGCGCAGATATCTGCTAGACGACACTGACATACGAATAGCAACTATTATGGCCTTGGAAGGCATATCCAGACTTTGAGTCCGACTGAGCTGGTGACATTCCTGAAGGTAGCTTCTCCGCCCTATCCCCTGGGTTTCACCGACCCAGTCATGTCTTCCTCGCATCCCAGATCGTGTGGGCGATAGCCATCCCTGTCATCAAATTCTCGATCTTGATGCAGTACCTACGAATTTTCGGGGTTATGGCATACATGAGGATCTGTGTGTGGGTCCTCATTGCCGTAAGCTCGGTTTGGGACATCTTGGTCGTAGTCGTCCTGTTGACAAGATGTCAATTGTTGGCCTACAACTGGGGCCAGTCTTTGGATGGTCGCTGCATTGATGAAACGCTGTTATACAAGATTGGAACTGCTATTAATGTTGTGGAGACTTTTTGATCTTGATCTTGCCCATGCCGGCGATCTGGTCATTCAACGTACCACTCAGTAAGAAGTTACAAGTCGTCGCGGTGTTTGTGGTTGCTTCGATGTACGAGCACCACCCTTATCGCAGCGTACAAAATACCACTAACACCGGACAGGAGTTGTGCTTTCAGCACGGTACGGTTTGACTCATTCTTTCAGATCAAAGGGATCGAACCAACCTATAAGACTCCGCAAGATCCCCTGACTACTTTGACTAACTTTCTTAGACGAACTGGCCATTTCGTGTATCTGGTCTGCTGTCGAACTCTGCCTCGGAATCGTAGCAGGTTCTCTCACTACTACAGGTCCGTTCAACGAAATCCTAAAGGAGAAGTTCCGGCACTCGTTGTCACAGTCATCAACCCTGGTACCGAGGAGCGAAATGTGCCTCACTTCCAATTCTACAAAGGGTGCGCGCAGATTGGGCAGCACAGAGGATGTCGCCTTGGGTCGCGTCACCTCGCCAACAAAGGAGCACTTCGGCTTCTAGACTCAACAACTCACACTTGGGTGTGAAAGTCTTCGAGAGGAGGTTTTTGATTTGGGGCTATGCTCCATGTGTATCCTAATAGCGTCAGATACTACATCTCATCGTAACATCCTCCACGGCTCTCGGACTAAAAACTGGAGTAGTGTATCGCCTCGGCTCAGCATAACCATGTGGTCGGCGTCACAGTTTGTGGCTTCGCCTGCGCAGGCGCAGAAAGTTGCAGCTGAAGCTGTGTTGGTAGAAGCCGATTTTGTTGGAAAACCAGATAGTGACATTTGGCTTCCTCGTGCCCTGTAAAGCGGATCTCAGCATCCCAATTTGCTGCAGGCTGTGGGCGCCTGCGTTCATTACAGAATTATGCATCTTTGTCACTCAAGCTATTGAACAGACTTGCAAGCGTATTGACGCAATTGAGGCGCTCGCCCCTGGATGTCGAAGAAAGGTAGTGAGCCGGTAGTGAAACCCCGAAGAAAGATGCCTGCGCAGATGAACGCAAAACCGATCGCACCACCAGATTGTCCAGCGTCAATCCTGCTATTTCGCGTGAGACCCTCGACTGCAGCACCTCCAATAAATCTGTCATACCGTCAGTCTGGGTTGAAATTCTTATTCGCTGAAGACCCTACCCGCCTATAGAGTGTGCAGCTACAACAAATTCGCGGCCTCTTGACACCAAAGGCTCGATGTAGCCACGAACAGCAAGGACATCATTGTCAAGACGATATCCGCGGACGAACCATGTCCTGTGCTGCGAAGCTCTGCAACAACGATTTCCAGCCCCCGCTCTTGCAGCTTTGTGACAAGTTGGTCCAAGACGCCTGTTCCGCTACACCAGAAACCGGGGACAATCACAATGACAGGCGATTATTTCTCCATTCTGCAGTGACGGTCAGTCGAGAAACCATATTGCTGGGTTCCGCACTCTTGGAAATGTGAAGAGGTACTTATTGGGTGCGACGTGTGCATAAGACCTAGCCTTGAGCTACATTGTTCGTGCTGCAGTGATATGGAGAACGGCCGAACCGAGCTGACCATTACCTGAATACGGCAGCAACGATGTGAGCAATCAATGCCCTAGAATTGTGCGTTCTATCTGCATGCTTTTGCTCTCAACAATCTTCTACCCTTCCTCTAGAAATATCAAGCCTTACAAGTTCGACTTCTCAGTCCGCTTCCCACTCTCATCAAACTTGATCTGCTTCCCACTGATCAGCGCCTCCTGCAACCAAGCACCAATTTGCACAGCCTTCACCGCATTGTTGAACTCCAACGGCACCGGTGTGTTATCGAGGCAAGCCTTGGTGAACTCATTCGCCTCACTTACAAACCCCTGCTCAAACCTTCCCCAGTAATCAAGCGGCACCTCGCGCGTAACACCACCACTGTGGTAGTAGTTTACTAAGTTCTTCTGGGGGTTCAGGTTGACGGTGAGCTTGCCCTTTGTGCCGATAATCTCGGTCACGTCCTCCTGCCCGTGCGGCATCATGCGTGACGCGTAGTAGTGCGCGATGCGGCCGTCCCAGAACTCGATGATGCCGACGGCGTTGTCGTAGTCGTTGTATTTCTTGAGGCCGGGCTGGACAGCGACGACGCCGTAGGCGGAGATCGATTTGGGGACTACGGAGGAGCCGAAGTACCACAGTGTGAGGTCGATATCATGGACGGACATGTCAACGAAGACACCGCCGGACCAGGCGGCGTAGGCGACGAAGAAGCCTGGTGTTTGTTAGCTGGGTGTTCCTTGCAACTGAACGTGTGGTGAATGTCCCTGATGGGTCGTGCTTGTCGCACGTCTGTGAGCGCAGGATAGTCGGGCGACCGATCTTGCCGGCCTCAATCTTCTCTGCTACATCGCGGTAACTGGCGTCAAATCTCCTGGAGAAGCCACACATGACTTTCAGGTGAGGCTTCTTTGCTGCATGATCGACAACGTCCTGGCAGACCTTCACAGTTGTCGAGAGTGGTTTCTCGCATAGCACGTGCAAGTTCTTATCCATTGCCTGGATAGACTCCTCAGCGTGGACAGATGTTGCTGTACCGATGCAGACAGCCTCCAGGCCCGGGTGTTCCAGCATCTTCTTGTAGTCGCTGTACAGCGTGACGCCGAAGGGCTCAAGGTGTACCTTAGCCCATTCAAGTTCCTTGGGCTCTGGCGAGAAAGCAGCGACAAGCTCAGCGCGGGGAACACTGTTGAGGAAGTTAAGGGCGTGGCGAGCGCCCATGCGGCCAAGGCCTGCAACTGCGACTTGGAGCTTGTGTAGTGCCATTGTGATGTGAAGTACGAAGAAAGCGAAAGAGCGAAAAACTATGGTGGCAGGGTTTCGTGAAAAGGAGACAAGAAATGATGGAGGGAATCGTGTAGAGCCATTCCATTTATATTTTCTGTGCGCTGGGCTATAGAGCTTTCTGCGTTGCTCGGAGGAGGTTTTTGCAACCTCGCGATGCCCTGAACCATATCTTCTTATTGGCGAATGGATTCCTCATGAGGACAGATTGACAGCGATTGCGGGGCGCGGGGTTGTTATGGAGGATATTGTTGAGAAGCACGCGGGCACAGCAGGTGAGAACTTCTATATGTTACAGGCGGCGGTTGGCGAAGATATACTCGGAGGAGGTTTTCGTAACCTCGGAGGAGGTTTTTGCACGTAGGAGAGTTAGTCAAATATGCGGATCCATAGTCGAACGTCATGCGTCGCGTCGTGCGTTGCGGGTCACTGCAGGTCAGGGGCAAAGTTTCCCGAGTTTAACCGAAAGGTGCAGATGTGAGGTCGTCGAAGGGTGAAAGGGTTCAACCGCTTCAGACCACATGTGGCAGTTTTGAAGTCTAGTAGTCGTCCCTACACCATGCTTCCAGCACGTTGCAACCGAAAATGTCGCTGAAACATGGCACTTGAGGCTCAAAAGGCTGAAGAAACACCCATCAGCCTCTCCGGGTCGCCCAGATAGGCATAGATTGAAGCGTAACCAAACGATATTCACTGGGCAGTGCGTGCCGTCTTGCCATGCTGGGAGCAACGCCAAAACATTCCTCAAACCAGCATCCGATCGCTTGCATCCATCGGCGTCTCTCCGCCTCCCCCACGCCCACATCCACATCTTGGCGTCTGCGGCTCCAGGAAAGTCTGGGGCAAGTTGCGGGGTAAAGAAGTCGGGCCTGTCGCATCGAGTCTGAACAAAACGGGAGTCATTTTCCGGCTTCGAATCTGGCAATTTTGTCAATCCTCACTCCACCGGCTTGCCGTGCTCAGATCGCCTTCCACAATTATCACAGAATAGATGAAATGCGACAACGTAGTGGATGGTTCGTCACTCCCTTCCAAGAACCGCGAGTAAGGTTCTGTTTTATGTATGACGTAGTACTGAACATCTGCGTACAGTAAGGCATGCCGGGAACGTCACATCAAATGTAAGGCGCAACACTGTGGGACGAACGTGTGCATATCGACCGTGCTAAGTCTCTTGTCATATAGGCGTTAAGCTGCGCGATACCGACAAGTGCAAGTACTGCACTGAACGGAAGAGACCCTGTATCAGGGGTAATGCTCTCCGCTTTCGGCCTGTCAAGACCGTAAAGTTCAATGCCGGCGAGGACATTGGCTCTGCTGAGCAGAGCCTAGAGTTTGGTGCTGGCCAGACATGGGTCGACATACCCAGGTCATGTAAGTTGAATTCGTCTCTTTCTCAGAGGCACATGCCGATCTGCAATAAATGAGAATTCGCATATCCCGAGTAGGCAGGTAGACTGAGCTGACCGGTTTTGTTGATAGTACATTTCTTTGCACCGAACACAGATGGTGACGATGAGGTGGGGCCTGTTGAAGCGGAAGCGGAAGCCCAAGTCGAAGCCGAACCAGAGATCGCCTCAGATGAGTCGAGTGGCAACCAAAGGAATCCAGGAACTAACGATAACACATTCGATCAGGGTGCCTTTTCGACAGAGTTGGCCTTGACTTATAACGATCAGTCCCCGTTCTCGAGCATCTCTGTATCTGTCCTTAGCGAAAACGATGGCCTGCCTTCCATCCACGATGTACTGAGCCGGACGGTCACCCTGGACAACATCCCACCGGTCGACAGTTACCAGGCGCCACACCTCGGGAGGAACGACTCGCTGTCCGACGTCTTGCAAAAGACAAGTGCCTGGCACAACAGTCCTGGATCGAACCCTCGGGCATCATCCTCACCACATGTCTTCAAGAAGAGTCCCCTTGATTCCATCCAAAACATTTCGCCCTATAACTCCACAACCTTTCCCCAAAGTCCATCTTCGTCCTTGGCACCGAAGTGGCCGGTAAACAATGCATATGAAGCGCGGCTTTTCCATCATTACATCATACACTGTACAAGTTGGATAGATGTATGTGACCCACGCTGTCACTTCGCGAAGGAGGTACCGAAGCGTGCAGCGCATTTCCCCGTCATCTTGCACGGTATCCTTGGCTTAGCAGCTCGACATCTTTGGTTGATGGGCAAAGAGCTAGAAGACCACTCGCAGCCGTACGTTGACCAATGCCTGAATGCGCTCATTGTAGCATTGGAAGATCCTCTTGCGCACTGGGACGAAAACTTCCTCGTGGCTGTGATTCTTCTTCGATTGCATGAAGAGATGGGTGACGCAGACGAGCAGTGCCATCACTTCGGTACAGCGCGAATATTGAATAGTATCTCGTCTTTCGCGGCGGATGGCGGTCTTCGGGAGTCTGCAAGTTGGGTGTCGCTTCGTCAACACATTTATGTGTCTCTCACATCGCAGCAGCCCCTCAACTTGAGCCTCGACAACTACCGCCACTCATCAGTTTTCCGAGAGTTTGATGACGAGGCCTGGACAAATCGAGTCATCTTTCTGTTCGGCACGATCCTACAGACTATATTCGAAGAGAGTGGCGAGGCCAACACCAATAGCATTACTAAGGAGAAGTGGACGGAACTGCACGCTGAGGTCGATGAGTGGGAACGTACAAAGCCTTGGACCTTCACTGCCCTTCACATCGAGCCTAATGCTGGGGAAAAGCACAGTGGCTCTTGGCCTCAACTCCCCTGCGCACAGGGTGTTGTTGCTGTAGGCTTGCAGTACTACCACCTGTGCAAGATAATCCTTACCATATACTCCCCTAACGCGTCGCTGGTCGGGCTGGCGGGAGTACGCGCACGGAAGGCAACGGATGCGTCGATACGAAAGCATATACGTATAACGATCGGTTATGGTATCAGCAATGAGCATTGCGGCAATGCTATGTTCCAGGGTAGCCATATATTGAGCGCATGCGGTGCGTATATTGTCGACCCACTCGAGCAGGAAGCTTGTGTAGAATATTTGAAAGGCTTGCAGAGTCGGATAGGATGGAGGACCGACAAGGTCATTGCGGATTTGAGAGAGCAATGGTCTGCTTGAGCAATTAATCGTACTCAGACAATCGCAAAATGGTGGCTCGCAAAGTATTCTTGGCTGACGCTCCGTATGTCGACTCTTCGTTTGCCTTCGTCTTGTCGTCGAATCACTTCCTCGAGAAGGTCGCCAGTAGCTTTTGCGTTTGAAGCAATGTTCTCAAGACCCCTGATGGACTCGAGGATCCAGCGTCGTTCCTCCAGACTTTCTTCTTCAGCCGCCCAAATCATGAGAGGCCATAACAAGTTTACTGGGAGTGATTCGTCAGTCTGCGCCATGAGGTGTGAAAGACGTTTGATGTTCGCGATGGCCGTAGTAACATCTTTCGTCTTCGGATATTGTACATACGCCACTCGGTGTAGGTGTATGAACGACGCATAGTAATTTGCGAGGTAGGTGCGAAAGCTTCGTGTAAGCGCCACAGCTAGGTTCTGCGCAAGGTGTTTCTCGGTCAGGTTGCCCGCGACTGCATGATCCATGAGGGCCGGTCGCTGTCCGTATAGTGCATGCAAATCCTTCGAAATTTGCGCAGCCAAGGCCATCACTTCGGTCTCGTCCTGTACTGTCCCACGACTTCGGTGCCAAGGGTCAATCCTAGTGATTCGTCCCACGAACGACTGTACCTTTTGATAGAAAACAATACCGGGGTGGTATAAGACATCAAAGAGTATCTCCTCAATCTCAGTGTCCTGGGTCTCAGGTTCTGAAGCAGGATTGGCGGCAGGCGAAGCATCGAATAACGTCTCATCGGTATCTATGAGGAACAGCCCTTCGCCTCCATTGGTAGACACGGCACGTGCGTCGAGCAGCCGTAGCCAAGAGATCAGGCGCCTTTCTGGCACAGTGAAACTCATTTTGTTAGCGCTTTGTATAAGCGTATAGGCTTCGCGTAGATTGGCATGTGCTCTAGGGAGGGTCTCTGTGAGCAACTGAAGCCGTTGTCAGTGATGTTATCCCCGTGAAAAGAAAGGCGCGTCTTACATCAGTGTAGGTAAGAAGGAAAAGAGACGCTAGGACATGCTTGAGCCCGCTTTTGGGCGTTTCGCTGCCCTCGGCTTTTCGTCTCTTTGCAAGGGCACTTGAGAGCTGTCTGGCAGCAGTGTCGTATAATGGTCTCCAGTCAGTTTTCACAGCTTCGCCACCTAGTCCGCTTCGCTGCATTTGCATGGCTGCGAAAGCCATAATCGCACTCCGAACCACAGGAGCTTCTGCGGCCATAGTTCCGAAGAAAGCACGCGTGGATGCCCATTTTGGACCTGATCATAGCGTTAGCATCATTACTTGAATACCTCAACCAAGTAGATGAACGCACCAATCTCCACCGGTGTCAGGATAGGCGGCATAAGCATTTGCAGGAACGTATTGACAAGAAGATCGCCATCAACTGCTCCGTTTTGGGTGCCTTCATGTGAGAAGGGAGATGTCGAGGCTGGATCTAGTTGCTGTCCGGCACGCTCTGCCCCTGCCTGGAAGCTTGTTCGAGGCGTCGATGGGGCAGGTGCTACGAGTGGACCAGATGGCTGATGACCAAGCGGTAACTGATAGTTAGGCTGGGGGACGGTGTCCAAGTGTGAGGTGGCTGCTGCTATCGTAGGATCCGTGGGCCAGGAATTAGGACTGAGAAGCATTGCCTCATCCCAGGCACCAAAACCGAGAGGCCCAGAGAAGTCAAAGAAGGCATTGCCATTCATTCCAAATCCCTCCATGGATGCCACATTGGAGTTGTATATGTGCTGGGAAGTCGGCTGAGGTGTAGCAACAGCGAGTGATTGTGTCGATAGAATGCTGCTGCTACGTGCTGGTACAGGTCGATTCCATCTATTGTAACTATAAGAAAATACCGCTATCAAAGAACCAGAGGTCTTAGACATACGAACAGTCAAGATTGAGTCTTTCACAATGGCCACACCGAGGCCTTCGCTCGTTACAGCGAACCTTTCTTCTCCTTCACAATAGTCAGCGCAGCCTGACACACAGCCATGGATCATTCACCTGCACGCATTGCAGCCGTTTTTGGATCTTGCAGGTCGAGGCGCAGATGGAGGCTGCTCTGAAGCAGGCCCTGCGGGTGTTGCGGGCTGCTGTTGCTCCTGTACAGGCTGTGACATGCGATTTGTATGTTCTGACAGCTACTGGAGAGTGAAATGGAAGAATCTCAACTGTCAGATGTCCGCAGGCTGCTGTTGCCCTTTTATGGGCTGTGGCATGCGTTTTACTGTTCTGACAGCTGCTGAGGAGCAAATTCAGAGGTTGTTTAGATTTCAAATGTTGTGATCGGAGCTCGGAGTTTTCGGTTCGTGTCAAAAGATGGGATAAATTGCGGGGACCAATAAGCCTCCGTGGGGCTAGCGTCTGGGCTCTCATCATGCGCGTACGCACAGCTTTCACGAACAGTCGCAACTCGATGTTGAAGTCCTAAAGATTCATTGATCCATCTCAACACGTGTCCTGCAGAAATGCTGAGCAGAAAATGCGATTGCGACAAGGAAACGCTAAACAAGACATAGAGAGCGCCTTCCGGCTAGCTGCTCAACGCTGATTTTCTCTCCCTCCTCCAGACCTTCACCGGCATCTCACCCAAGATCCAGTTCATCGTCTCCAACCGCTCGATGTCCCAGTCTGGAGTCTTCAATGCGAAATCGTACCTCCGCAGGAGACTTGCCAACACAACGCTCTGTTCGAGGTACGAGATGTTGCGGCCGATGCAGCCACGTGCGCCAGCCGAGAAAGAAAGGAAGTAAGGTTGCAAGGCCTTGCCCTCCTCACCTAGCCATCGCTCCGGAACGTACTGATCAGCTTGCGGGAAGACAGACTCCTGTCTGTGCGCGACATGGGCTGACATTGCGACGGATACGCCGCCAGGGATATAGTCGCCAAGGATGTTTGCACCGTCCGCGGGTGTCTCGCGGGGAAGGCCATGAGGTGTGGGTGTGAAGAGTCGGAGCGATTCGTCGAGACAGGCGCGCAGGTATGGTAGATGCTTGACGGTATCGTAGGCGATAACCCCGGTCTCATCGATATCCTCATTGTCCTGGAGCGCGGCGTCAATCTCCTCCCTCAGCTTCTTCATGCATCCGGGATGCTTTATCAACTGCAATGTTGCGTTCGCGATGGCAATAGCGGTTGTTGCTGAGCCGGCATTCATCATAATGCTGACTTCGGCGACAATCTCACCCCACTCGAGGTTGTTTGGCGATCCGTTCTTGTCCTCCATCAGGGCCTGGAAGAAGTCATCGGACTTCTCACCGGCACGGTATCGTTGCAGACGTCGGTACGCCAATTCGTTTGGAATACCGTCCCACTCCTTGGCATAGTTGTCCATGCGGCGGTAAAATGGGAGGACGTTGACGACCTTGTTGATGATCAAGTACCACTGGTAGGGCCAGATCAGAAGGGATTGCTTGCGAGCAGTCTGGTAAAGAGCAGGTCGAAGGTCACACTGATATGTGGTGCCGTCAGTCTTGCGTCCGGTCACCATACTGGTTCCTTGATCGAGGAACCCGAGCTTCTCAGAAAGTCCAATGTCGGCGATGGCATCAAGGGTGAAAAGATTGGTCCACTTGCGGTAGTCGAGGTTAAAATCTTCGGGCTTGGGAAGTGCACCGCGGGCCAGGGGCGCAGTGCAGCATGTGTCGATGTGCTTGATCAGCCTTTGTGTCTTGTCGGCAACCTTGTGTTCCCAACCCTCGAGGTTCTTGATCGCATATGCGGAGCTGAGTGTCTTGCGCTTGCGAGCGTGGTCATGCTTGTCGACAACATCGGCAAGATGGTAGTGGGATCCGGCGGTGATCACATAAGCGCCGTCCTTGGTGCAAAGTGTGTTGTGACCGTAAATATCCTTGATTGCACGGAGGTCGCCATACGACAGTGAGTTGGGCCCAGTTCGAAGCACTGGATGCTTGCGGTGCAGCTTCTCAAGGTAGGTAGACCGTGCGCCGGTGTGGGCAAGAACCATGAAAGGAACGTTGGAAATTCCAGCAAGAGGATGAAAATTGGGGTATCGACGAAGACCTGCTCGGATCAGCAAAAAGCTCTGAGAGCACGTGGAGTTACCTGTATCCCGCAATTGTATGCCAGTATATGGCATGTGCGGATTGAGGGTAGGGAGCACTGACCATTAACATCGCGGAAGTAAACAACAACTGGGTATACGACGAAATAGAAGAAAATGCAGGCGCCTAGCGCAGCAGCGTAGGGACTTGAGAGGATCGAAGTCGACATGGTGGAAGGCTCAAGTTGGAGCAGTGTACTTTGCTGAGTTCAGAGCACTTGATCGATATCGACTCCAAAGAAGACCGACAAACCCTTAAGTGCTTCATGAATCCCTTCTGGTACCGGTTGTTGAAATGGAACGAAGTGAACCATGTTTTCGACAAAGGAATTGTTCGGAGAAATTTACTAGATCGAACACGACTTGCAGTGCGGATGATGTGCAGGTCCGCAGTGCAAATGCGGGGTGGACGTGGGGTAAGTGCTAGAGTCGGGGCTAATGTGGACCAAGGTTTCGCACGTTAGGTTAGGGTCTGCAAGCACGAACACGACGTGGAAGTCTCGTAGGTAATGTCTTTGACAGGAGTGGAGAATACGTCAGAGTTGGAAGTTCTCCCCATCCGGTGTCCGAGGGACATCTCAGGGTCCTTCAGCCTCAAAGCTGTCACAAAAAAAAGTTCAAGTATGAACTCTACGGCCTTGTGAACTCTACTATACACTCTTTTGCTGTCCATCATGGAGTCTCTCAGCTTTCCGGTCGACTTGTCAGATTTACAGACAAAGTTGAACCCACTATTTCAGTCAATCCTTGCATTGCCAGCAGTTCAAAGTGCCAAGCCGTCAAGCACTGCTGATGGTGTTGCCGTTCTTCTTTTACTCCTTTCTGCTCTCGGCTACCTCACACATGGCCGAGTTTGGGACAGGCCAGATCCCCACCATGGCATCTGGTTCGAAAGGCCGCAGTTAGCAGACGGCGCATCAAGCGGCAGAGTGGCTGCCACTCGAGATGTTGCCCAGAAGCTCACTGAGGGTGACTACCACTGCGTCATTTTTTGGGGCTCTCAATCTGGCACCTCAGAACGGTTTGCAGAGACACTTGGACGCGAATGTCTGTCACACTTTGGTATCAGCGCACTTGTGGCGGACATTTCAGACTACGATTCCGAGAGCATTTCCAAAATTCAGTCGAAACACCTCGCCATCTTCATTCTCAGCACATACGGAGAGGGTGATCCCAGTGACAACACAGCTGGACTGTGGGACTGGATCAAGCAGGTGAAGGACAAGAAGACTAGGGTAGAGAACTTGCGATACCTTGCGTTCGGTCTCGGAAACAGCAACTACAAGTACTACAACCGTGTACTTGACGTTGTTGCCGACGCGCTCGACAATGCTGGAGCCAACGCTCTCATGCCCCGGCAGAAGGCGGATGATGCCAACGGTGGCACAGAAGAGGATTTCCAAGTGTGGAAGGACGATCTTTTTGCCCTATTCCGCAAGCTTGGCTTCGAGCAGAAGACCGTGGAGTACCAGCCAACGATTGAGCTCACCTTCAGCGGCGAGACAAACAGCGAGGACTCGAATCCTGCGACATCGCTGATCCACCAGCAAACCTCGACACAATCCGCCATCGTACCATTGACCATCAAGAGCGCTCATGAGTTGTTCGCTGCGGGAGACCGAAACTGCATACACATGGAGCTTGACCTCGGGAACCAGGACATCGTGTACAAGACTGGAGACCACATCGGTATTTGGCCATGCAACCCAGAGGAGGAGATCAAGAGGCTGTTGAATGTACTCGGAGCGCAAGCAAGGATGCACGAGTACTTTAGCGTCAAGAGTGACAACGACTCGGTTAAGCCAAAAGTCCCGTCGCTAACGACTCTTGAAGCAGCATTCCGCTATCACCTCGAGATCTGTGCCCCGGTTGCGCGCAAGACGGTGCAGGAGATCGCTCAGTTCGCACCAACGCCCGAGGCCAAGGCAAAACTTCTCGAGATTGGACAGAACCGCGAACGCTATGAGCAACTTACCTCAAACACACACATCACACTCGCTCGACTCTTGCAACTCGCCAGTCCAACCGAGCAGTGGACATCACTGCCCCTGGCTTTTGTCATCGAGAATCTGTTGCCACTGCAGCCGCGTTACTACTCCATCTCATCCAGCTCCGTTATCGCTCCTCGTCGCATCGCTATTACTGCCCTGGTCGTCAACAAGACTATCGGTGACAAATCGACATCGACAATCCACGGCCTGACCTCGAACTATCTCCTCTCCGCTTCTGATGTTACATCCAACGCCACTGTCCCCACACCATCGTATCAGCGAATGAATCAGGGCCAGAGACTGCAAGGCTCCAAGGTTCTAGCCCATGTGCGCAAATCAAAGTTCAAGCTACCGATCACATCCTCAACACCACTCGTTCTCATTAGTGCAGGCACTGGCTTTGCGCCCTTCCGCGCTTTCCTGCAAGAACGTACGAAGCTCCATGTGATCGGCAAGCCTGTTGGCAAGATTCTCCTCTTCTTTGGCTGCCGCAACAAGGACGACTTCATCTACCAAGAAGAGCTAAACAAGATCCAGGGCGAGCTTGGATACAAGCTCAAGATTGTCACTGCGTTCTCAAGAGATGGACCGAAGACCTACGTGCAAGATCGCGTTGGCGAATATGCTGCTGAAGTTCTGGAGCTTCTAGATGCTGGCGCGAACATGTACATTTGCGGTAAGGCAAGCATGGCGCGAGAGGTCGACATGAAGATGGAAGACGCCGTAAGCAAGGCGAAGAGTCTTGGTGAGACTGAAGTCAAGGCATGGGCTGACAGTCTGAAGAAGAGAGGAAAGTGGAAAGCTGACGTTTGGGGTTGATTGCTTATTGTGTCAGGACAAATAGACTTTAATGAACTTGTCTCTCGTTCAACATCGTCATATACACGCATATTGAGGCCCGTGACCCAAGGCATTCGTACACAGTGACGCTATCATGTACTGAGGTGGGGTGACAGTCATTGTGGCACACTGATGGAATCCTCTGGATATGCTCATTTTGGCCTAGGTCTCCGTACCCACTCAGTCACTGACTCTCAACATCGATATTCAAGTTTGAGGCTCAACGAGGCTCAACGAGGCTCAAATGACATCTACGTCACATCAATCCACAATTCAGCCGCACGATCCTTCTATGCTCGAAACGATGGGATTCGGGTTGTGCCGGCTTGACGATGTTGTCCTGCTGTGGGTCGTGTACCTGGTGTTCGGTGTTGCGCAGGCTGGAGTTTGGGTCATGTGCCGAACCGTGTGCCATTGACGTCACCTCTGAGGCATTTGAGACTGCCAACATCCACGCTGCCTTGAAACGTTGCATTCCAACATGGTAAACCCGCGGACGTAAGGGGAGACCTTCCTCGCTTTCAGACATAGTTACCAATTCCGTACACCCTGGCATTCATGATCGTTTCGCGCTCTTTGCAGGCCGCCCGGTCCAATCACGCTTCGGCCGTTGTCCGTCTCGACAAGCCATCCTCGCTTCAGCCAATGCAGCGCCGCACAATTACGCGCAGCATGTGAAGCCTGAGGCTCTCGGCTGGTCGCATGGCAAAGACAAATCATACCAATGTAAATCCCAACAGCATTCTGCAGGTCTCTGCTCGCGTCAGGGCCAGGCCCACCCCCGCGCCACAGCCCCCGGATTCGCTTGTCTGCATCGGACCGATGATGTTGAATCTGGGGAAGTCGTCGGCGCTGGCACGCGAGTTGTGTGCCCACAGACCACGTGGGCCTAACGTAGCAACTCCTGAAGTGTCATAGTGTAGGATGGGGTGGTGGTCATCCCGCGGGTGGCCCCGACAGGCTTTACAAGCTTGGGACTCCAGGAAGCATAAGTACGACAGTGATCTCCGCATTGGTGTTTGGTTCATCACCGGGTCTCACTGAACTGGACAACGACAACACCTTCTCACTCCTCAACACCAAGTCTTCTATCAACGACTACCTCGCCACATCTTCACAATGGCTTACGAAAACTCCCTCGACGAGAAGAAGGACCTCAAGTTTGACAACCACACAGACAAGATTGAGGATATCTCTGAGTCAGAACACGCACAGCACCTCGCTGAGCTCTCGAGTATCGAGGCTACAGCGGCATCAAAGGCTGCTTGGTTGATTTCCATCACTGTCTCACTGGGAGGATTGCTCTTCGGTAGGACTGACATGTCACGTCACCCCTGATCGCCTCACTGACAACATCAGGTTACGACACTGGATACATTTCCTCCGTCCTTGTCACCATCGGCACATCCCTTGGCCATGAGCTTACCTCTTCTGAGCAGGAGCTTGTCACTTCGCTCACATCTGGTGGTGCCCTCGTTGGCGCTGTCATCGCTGGTTTGATCGCTGACAAGCATGGTCGCAAGACGCCTATCTGGCTCGCTTGCATTGTCTTCGTCATTGGAACTGTTCTGCAAACCGCCGCATACCACCTTCCCCAGTTCGCCGTTGGCCGCTTTGTCGTTGGTCTTGGTGTTGGCAGCGCAGCCATGGTGGTTCCTCTTTACATCTCCGAGTTAGCCCCTGCGAAGTACCGCGGCCGTATGATTGCGTGAGTTTTCCTCCATAGTTTGGAACAGTTGGAACTGGAACTAACGAAAATCAGATTCAACAACATGTCCGTCACGTTCGGTCAGTTCATCGCCTCTGGAATTGGTGCTGGGTTTGCGCAAGTCGGTGGGGAGGGCTCACAGGCATGGAGGGCCACAGTTGGCATCGGTGCCGCACCCGCCATCTTGCTCGCCGGTCTTCTCTTCATGTGCCCTGAGTCTCCTCGTCAGCTTGTCGCACACGGAAAGGTCGATGAGGCCAGCGTTGTTCTCACACGCATCTACCCTACCTCGACCGAGGAGCAGCGCCGTGCAAAGATCCACTCGATTGAGATGAGCATTGCAGAGGCTACTCAGACAATGGTTGACGACTCCGTCTTCAAGACATTGGCACGCATCTTCACCACCGCCGCCACCTTCCGCGCCGTGTTCACCGCCTGCACCATCATGGCCATCTCCCAGCTCAGCGGTTTCAACACACTTATGTACTACAGCGCCACCCTCTTCAAGATCGTCGGATTCAACAACGCCACCGCTGTTGCCATCACCGTCTCAGCCACCAACTTCATCTTCTCGCTCGTCAACCTGATCATCGTCGACAGGTTCGGTCGCCGCAAGATTCTTCTCGTCACCATTTTCGGCATGTCTGTTTGCTTGGTCGTCGCCGCCGTCTCGTTTGCCTACATCCCGATCGATCTTCATACCCTCGAGGTCCAGAGCGACGAGATCGGCTGGCCGGGAATGCTCCTCATCGCCGTCATCATCATCTTCGTCGGTTTCTACAGCTCCGGAGTTGCCACCGTTGCCTGGATCGGAACTGAGCTCATTCCAATGGAAGTCCGTGCTGTTGGCACCATGCTCAACACCGTAACATGCTGGTCCACCAACATCATCATCGCATCCACCTTCCTCACCATGATGAAGGGTATCACTCCATCTGGCGCCTTCGGTTTCTACGCCGGAATCTGCTTCGTCGGCTGGCTGTTCGTCATCTTTTGCTTCCCCGAGGTCAAGGGCATGCCGCTCGAGAACATCCGCCAGGTCTTTGAGCACGGCTTTGGCGTCCGCTATGCGCGCAAGTGGCAGAAGGAGAACAAGCAGTTTGCAAAGATCAATGCTGCGAACCAGGGCCCTGTTATGGGCCACTAGATGCGCGAAACGTTTAGAGTGGAGATAGAGGAGGTTTGAAGGGCACATGTTGAGCATGGTAGCTTTGTATATATTTGTTTCTATGCTTTGTATGGTCCGATAGCGGAGGATCTTTTATGACTGTTACGATTAGATACCAGAATATCAATATTCACATCATTATCTGAAGCATCAACTCTTACGTTCTGTGCGTAGCTTTTTGGCGCGGACATAGCAACGAAGGTCCGAACAGAACCGTACTAACATCTCCCAACCTTCATAGAGTTAGGAAAGCGCCTTCGGCTTAGCTGCCTAATATCCCCACTGCGTAACGAGAACCACGCCGTAACGAGATGACTTTACTATTTAGACGACCGTAGTCTTTCCTACACGAGTCTTTGGAATTGTAGCTGGTGAAGTGCTATTCTTTAGCAATTCCGTACCTACCCTTGCCTACGCACACATGTTGCTAGACCTGCAGCTATTGGAGCTTTGCAATGGTAGTCTTGAGAATGTCAGAAATGTTTTCAAATTTTGAAGGTATTACACCTTCAATGTTTGTGCTTCCGGGAGTTTCGCCGACCAGTATGAGGGGTCTCACAACCCCCTGTTACTTTAGCGCATGTTAGTGCGCATTAGCGGCTGTGTATTTTACTGTATTTGATACAAGACTTTCACGTGCCTTGTGGCGCGAGAATGGTCTTTGTTTGGTTTGCTCGGTTTGTCTGGTTTGTTCAAGTTGGTTTGCCCAGTCTTAAAATAGCAACGTGTTCTGGCTCCATCGTCTGCACTGCCCTGTCCTGGGACTCGCTGCCTCCCGCTCTCTCCCTACCACATCACATCCCTCAGTGGGCTGACCATGGATAAGGAGAGTCGAGCTTTGACCAAAGCACTCCCTGAGGGCATACCTGACACCCTCACGGCTCGAGCAGCACATTTCAACGTGGCTCTTTCTACCCTCGGTCATCGTACTCAAACGAGAATCCAGGGACGCCAAAGCCCAAAAACAGCGGTACCTCACCCTGTACAAAGCGAACGCCGTCGTCGAGTTTTTGTTACAACAGAAGGCCTTTGGAACACCTGTGCAAATGAAGCATGTAGCTGCAATAGCATTCAGTGCCACTCGCAATTGGCCCCTGGCGGACAGGCCACTCAAGCCTCCTGGCCCAAACTGGGCAAAGGCGTTTGAAAAGCACTGTCAGGCCTGGCTGGTGATATAGTACTGTTCCGGCTAGAGCTCACCATTAGAGTGAGCCGTGATACCTTTTGGCTTGCTTGGCTCAGTGGGCCGGACCTGAGTCTTGACAAGCACCATCCAGAGCTCATAGCAAAGAAGAACAGGCTGCAGGATTGGGACCAACATAACATTTATACTAAGGTTGAGTATTGGTTTGAAGTGATTGGAAATGAATTACAAAACCCAGCTATATGTTACGATCAAAGGGCAACCCGCAACAACACTGAACAAACAGGACTATGCAACAATACGAGAGGAACTGAGGAACTGTAGTATCAATCAATCCAAGCAAGTAGTGTCAGCCCTGGCTGATGATATAGTACTGTTCCGGCTAGAGCTCACCATTAGAGTGAGCCGTGATACCTTTTGGCTTGCTTGGCTCAGTGGGCTGGACCTGAGTCTTGACAAGTAGACATGCTGCCCTTATGGCATCGTGTTCAACCTCGTCAGTCAACTTTGTTATTAGAATCTCACTTGCTCTTGAGCCAGACAGTATACTCTGTACTACTCATTGCAACCAGTCATCATGGTCTTTGACTAGACGACTACCTGACTATTACGAAGGCTACTACTGCCTCGCCTGGATAGTCTACCCTTGACCACCCAAGCCTGTTACAATCAAAGGGCAACCCGCAACAACACTGAACAAACAGGACTACGCAACAATACAAGAGAAGCCGAGGAACTGTAGTATTGATCGACCCAAGCAGTGGGCCGCGTTGGCAACACTCGGCACAAGCAGTATACTCGGTATGATCGGTATACTTGGCACGGTCAGTATACTCAACACAAGCAGTATACCCAGTACAATTGGTATACTTGTGTTGAAGTTGTACTTTAAGCAAAGCTTGTAAGTACTATTCGATTGGTTCTTGAGGATGAGCTCGGGTTCTGGAACAGTAGGGGTAAGTCGCCTGGGTGAAACACCTAACGACGGCTTGGGGTAACGATGAGTAGTACAGGCAATCTGTCTAGCTCGAAGGTTGATTGAGATCCGATGATAAACTTAATTGACAAGGTTGAACACAAACCATAAGGGTTGTGTTCCTACATGCTATATACTAAACGTGTCTACGTGGTGATCTGTCTGCTCTGTGTCTGACAGCGCAGTGAGAGCAGTGGGAGCATTCATGCAGAGTGCTCTGCGTGCTCTGTTGCTGTACGTTGGATTGTGAGATCAGTGAGAGCATATATGCAGTCTGACAGCCAGCCTTGTTTCCATCTCAGCTTAACCGAGACTTGCCGCTGCTCTGTTGTTGCCTACGTTAGCGTGAGAGCGATCCTTGTCAGTGCTACCTAGTGTACCACTGATCGTAACACCCAGGTCTAGTACTACGGTCATCCCAAGTAACTGGACGACCCTGTACTCCTCCACCCACCCAGGCCTCAGCAGCTGCCTCAGAGTCAATATTTACTACTCCTCGGAGCTCGCAGGCTCTATACAAGGCCCAGCAGCAGCTATTGTTGTCGGAATCTCTCTCACGAAGCACGCGGATAGTGCTTGGCAAGGCAGGCAAAGCTATTGCAGCAGCGAACACTAGAGCAGCCCAACTAGAAGCTGAGAATCAACAGCTGGAATATCAACTAGATCATCACAAGATTACCCGTACAAGAAAGCGAGTTCAAGTTAATCCAAATGAGCGATTCAGCAACGTTGAGGCTATACAAGCTGCCATCAACCGAGCAGCAGCTCTACAGGCTCAACAAGCAGCTTCTTCAGCAGAGAGAGCAGCTCATACAGTCGCAACAGCTACAGCAACTCTTGCTTTTGACTCTATGTGTACACAGTGGCAAATATAATCATCGTTGTTGAGAAAATCGTGACTCTATACTGTATGGCTGCTTTGGGTGGGTGGCCGGAAACTATATGTGGCCGGAAACTATATGTGGCCGGAAACTATATGGCCGAGCTTAGCCACAGGCTAAACTTGTGAGCAGTGTGGCTTGTTACAAGCAAATTATTACGTGAGACGTATCAACGGTGTTTCGGAACGGTGGGCTAGCGAGCGTGGCAGTAAGGCTGAAAGGGCTGATCTTACAATATTGTGACTACTACAGGTAATGCAAGTTGAGTAGTAGACCTGGAGGGGAAGTGTTCTGCCGTGCTATCGGATAAGGCCTTCGGAAAATCAGGGGTGGAGGCGACGACAACATCGGTAATTTTCCCGTAGCGACTGTTAAGAGGCTAAGGAAGACCCGTTGCATTGCACTCATGTACTGTCATACAAGCACACAGACACAGAAAGGGTTTATCCTGCTTACTAGTCTAAGTACCTATGATTTTTCTCGTTACAGGGTGGTTCTCGTTACGTAGTGGGGGATATTAGATAGCATCTGCAATGCAGAATGGTGGCGGTTGTGTAGATATGGATAGAAGACTCGTCAAATCACTGAGGACTTCCAGAGTATGGTCCAGAGCCTCGAATCACACCACGACGACCTTCAGTGTCATTCAAGGCGCAAAGACCTCAATACATTGCAGAATTTTGAATTCCATATTGTGGAATGATTGAAGTGTTGAGCATTAGTCCACTGACTATCTCCTCACCCCACCATGACAGCGATGCACTCCAAGCACACAGAAGCTACCCTTGCCACCTCTACCCTTGCCACCTCTACCCATGCCGAATCAACCGGCGCCTTGTATCCATGCAACGCGAACAAAATGCCGCAAAAAATTCAAACGCCGACAAATGCAATTATTGTCCCAGAGTGGTATAAAACGCCAAGCAAATGCAAATTCAAATGCCAAATCCACCTCAGAGCCTCACTTCCGCGTGCGTGCTCATTAGGCCGTCCCAAACAGAAGGAGATGTACCGGGTGGGTTAGGGCGTCCACTCCTGCACAGCTCCACTTCTGCAAGAACCCACTTCCAAAGAGTCCTCGACTCGAGATGACCGCACGTAGACATCTTTCCCCTTCCTGACTGTTGGGCAACAGTGGATACCAGTCAATATCCGCCGCTGCAACGCAACGAGGCCAGGCTTCACCCACACTGCTACACTGTGACCATTTCCTCAGCACAGACAATCCACTCCTTCACTCCACACATCCCGTTCAAATGATGAGCCCACCCTGGAACGGATACACATCCCCCGTCAACGCACCAAAGCAATGCCCTGGATGATACCTTAGCCTCGCAGCGCGCCCATACTCATCATCCTCATTCTTCCTTGACACTTCAACATCTGACGTGGGCGCGGGCGCTGCTTCCCTAAATCTTGCGTGCTGAGCCGCATGAGCATCCCAAGCCTGCTGCTCCGTGACTTCCTCACCCACTTGATCCAACCGCTCATTGCTTCCCACCTTCGCGAACGGTAGGTGCTCAGTTGTGGGGTTCTTCGCATACCACTTCGCCCACACCGTCTCATCGCGGTCCAGCAGCTGGGCATCGGAGTTCTGCCGGCGTACTGATAAGATGGGGCTAGTTGATGATGATCCCGAAGGAAATCCCAGCTGGACTTCTGCGGGTGGAAAGATGTCTGGTGCTACGAAGTGGGTACCTGTGTACTTGTGCTCCTTTGCTGGCTCGATGAAGGGAGCGTTGAGATGCTCATCGATGGGGCGGTATGGGCGGCGGATAGCGAGGATTGGAGGAGAGAGGGGGAGGTTCTTGCGGAGGGTGGGTTTGCGAGGTGTACCGCCAAAGTGCACTATGGCTCGTCGGTGTGGCGTAGGGGGACGGAGGAAGCTGGAGGAAGTCGTGGACGTAGCTGATTGATGCTCAGCAGCTTTTTGAGATCGTAGACTCGGCTGAGGTGGGTTCGAAGAGGTCGCCGCTGATTCATATTGCTCTTGAACCGGCTGAGGTGAGTTGGAAGAGGTCGAAGCCGATTGATGCTGGGCTTTGGTCGACCCAGGTGTGGCTGGTAACTCCTCGCTGATTGTTGGACACTGACGGCGGCCGACAAAGAGAGTGACCACTCGTTGTAAGAACGTTGGTCGAGCCTTCTGAGGTTGAAGAGGAACTATGAATGACCTTACTACGGGCCTGATGTAGTTACTGAGTGATTCTGGAGACTCGATTAGAAGAGATGCCGGAGGATCATCATCATCCTTGATGGCGCAAGACTCTGCAGCTGAGGAAGCGTAAGCTTGAGATTGCTGTGCTGGCTCCACATGGTCATCAACTGGTACAACGGCCTCTACTGCTGTTGCCAGCAGAGATGCTGGAGGACCTTCAGGGCGTTCAACAGCGCGCGTAGCTGTTGCCGCAGGAGAGGCGTCATGAGCTTGCATTACTTGCTCAAGACGGTCATTGATCGGTGCGTATATTGCCGTTGTTGCCAAGAGTGATGCTGAGGGACTGTTGTCTGCGTCATCTTCGTCCACAACAGCATGGGGGTTAGTCGCCTTGAGGTGGTCGCGAACCGGCCTATATATAGGCGCAAGCTCCAAGAACGATGCTGGAGGGTTGTCGTCTTCTTCCTGCAGTCGCTCAATATGCTGGCATGTCAGTGAGGCCGGTGATTCGGCTGCCTCTTTTCGCGCCGTGTACGCCTTCGCTGCTGCCAGTAAAGAGCTCAGATTGCTGCGCAACAGGTTACCAAACTTGTTGGTCGATGGAACCCGCTTCTTCGCAAACACTGGCCCGTCGTTGACTACGTCCTCAACCAATGTCAAGTCCGATGCGCCGCCAAAAACAGTTCGCGTAGACTTGCGCTGCGCTTTCTCGCCATCATCCTGCCTAACCTTCTTCTTGTGGCCTTGGAACCGGATGCGCGACTTGGCTTTGTTGATTGGCATGGTGGAGCTGTCAGGAGGCCGCAAGCGTAGAAAGAAAGAGACTGGAGAGGTACGGAAGGTCGTTATGCAGGCGCTGCTTTAGCGAATGATTTGAGGGCTGTAGTTGACTGCGCTGATGACGTGTAGTAGAGAAGATTGTTATTGTGTGTTTGATTGTGGGAAAGGAGACAGTGAACGGATGTGGGAAATTGGAGAAAAGGACAAATGATGGATGAGCACACGCGAGGAAAGGGGACGCGTTACAACGCGAAGAGTAAGTGAAGGAACGAGGAAATTGACGCAGCCATCGTGACCAATCTTCCAGGCGACAAGAACGTCTGGCGTGTAGGTGAAGATGCGGTGAAAGTGCCAGACACTGTGTGCACATCATGAAACGATACTGGCGACGACAAGAAGATTGCTGAAGAAGTGGACGTAGGGACAAGAAGAAGCCCGTTATGAAATCCAGCAGTACAGTGTCAACCTACTCCAAATCAATCATGCCCTGCTCTTATACGACCTGACAGCTGGTGGACCAAACGTGTGCCAGATTGTAGTCTGGCAAATACCAAGTGGCAATCACCTGTTGCGAACGGTCAATGAGACTTTGTTCATTGATGATGCGGATGTGGTATCTTCATGATGTCGTCACTGAAAAGCCAGAATGCTTGGATGCTCCTATTTATCCTCTTCATGCGTTGTCCGCGCAGATGTATGTGACTGCACAATGTCAGCTTCAAGGTAACATTACCAGGTCTGTTTGCATACCGTTGTTGCCTCGTACAAACGCATCACCCCAGTTGCGGGTGACACGGCCTTCCGAAACCTCCTTGCACCGCTCGAGAGCAATGTTCATGTAGCCATCGACAGATTGAAGATCACCTAAAGAGTGGTTAACTTGATGTGTGGTTCTCGATCACGTGCTGATGTAACGTACCCTTGTACACAATGCCAGAGTTCAACTTGACGGTGACGGGAGCGCCGATAATCTCACTCAAGAAGCCACTGGGATCTCTTGAGTCGCCGTTGCTCTCTGGTGCTGGGCTCTGGGACATGGTTGCTGAGTGTGACGTTTCAGGAAAGAGTTTTCTGTATAGAGGGTCAGATCCTGGTTCATAAAATGGAAGACTTGCTTACGAGCTACGCGTATTCAAGGGCTGAAGTTATTAGTTCAAGCACTGATGTTTGATATGCAGGTGTCGTGACGATCGAGCTGTTATCGGCATGAGAGGTGAAAGGCGCTAACGTGCACAGACCGCCGCTTCTTCTCCAGAGCAAGCGCGACAAACGTGACTGCGCGTCATTCCGGCGCACGCACCTCGCAATCCCTCGACAAACATCCGCACTCGATCGACACGTTACCTTTATCTTGCATTGAACATAATACCACCTATCTTCATGTATCTGAGATGACGGATGCCAGTACAGGCGCCCCAGCCCCTAGGAAACGGTCTCTTTTCAAGCGAGCAGCCTGGCAAGACGCTGCGAAGAAGGAGAATGAGGACATATTCAGCCACTCTAATGAGTTCAAGGACATAGTTGCCGAGGAGAACAGGCGGAAAGAAGAAGAGAAAAGGAAACAAGCTGAGGCAAAGAGGAAGGCCGAAGAAGGGCAAAAGCGCGAGCAGGCAGAGAAGCAAGAGAGTAAAGGCAAGAGGCGCAAAGTGTCGACCGACTATGATGAGCCAATCTTACTCCTGAGTGGCTCTGTAAACTCGGGAAGAATAAGCAGATCACAAAGCAAAGCGTGAGATCGCCTTTCTCCAAGCATTGGAGTGTAGCTAACAGACGTCAGCCGAAGTAGGACACCCCTCTCTCCCGCTGCACCCCCACTACCGCCGAACTCTCTCGCAGCGCGTTATGATACTCTCACACAGTCGGCCCTGTCTCAGCCTATCATTGTCGATCTGGGTGACTCAGACGAAGATGATGACGGTTCTGGCTACAAGTCGAAGTCATCTGGCGATACCTGGGACGACACAGGAGACGGCGCCGACACAAAGCACGACATAGCGTTGCGCCCGTGGAATAACACACCACTAGACGACGATGGCCTGGAGGAGGTCCAAGACCCAGAACTTGCAGCCATAGAGGCGAGAGCACGAGCAAGAGCTGCGGCAAAGAAAGCAGCAGCGGCGAGTGGGAGCAAAGCGCCCATTGCGCAGCTTTTCATTGCCTCAGACTTGCCAGATACAGCGCCCCTCATGGTCAAGGTGCGCATAGACACCACGATAGAAAAGCCTCGCGAGGCTTGGTGCGCAAGGCAGAAGTTCACGCCAGAAATGACGCAGAACATCTTCTTTACGTGGCGAGGGACACGATTGTATAACAGCACCACCATCAAGCGTTTGGGGATCAAGGTGGACGATCATGGCAACCTATCCATCGAGGGCGATGACTCAATATATGACGAGACTAACACACCCAAAATCCACGTCGAGGCCTGGACAGATGAGACCCTCGCACAACACAAGAGAGAGCTCGCTGCAGCAGCCGAAGCCGCACGCAAGGCAGCAGAGCCATCCTCCGTGACCGAGGAGCGCGAACCTACGCCCGAGCCTGTACTCGAAGTGAAGAAGTACCGCCTCTTCCTGAAAGCGAAAGGATTGGAAGACTTCAGGATCCAGGTCCGGCCTGACACCACATTTGAGAAACTCGCGGACGCATTCAGGACGACTCGTAAGATTGCTAAGACACAGCCTCTAACACTCATGTTCGACGGTGAGCGTTTGTCGCCCATGGATACCATACAGGACACTGAGCTGGAGGATATGGATTCGATCGATGTGCTGCTCAAATGAGCGGGTTGCACGTACGTATTTGACACTATTTGGTTTGGGATCTGGATATTTGATCTGGGACATTGCAAGCGCGGCGTTGATGGTTGATATCCTGATGGGCATGGGTTCGGCTTTAGATTTTCTAGGTACGAGTCGAGTCGAATTGAAATACTCTATACCAAAAATGGTGACAATATCAGGACTCATCAAGAATGCAAATCACAACCAAACAACCAGAACGATGACAACTTGACTGATTGTTGCAGTTGAGGGGCCGGGTATGATGTATGCCTGTACTGTTGTTGGGATGCCTTTGATGGTGGTAGCCACGTGTGCGAAGAGGAGCTCTAAAATTGTGGTAGCAATTGGGTCAGGCAGGACGTATGCAGCGACGTCTACCGCCTGTCCGTCGACGATGTGCGCGTGCTTATCTACTGGCGTTGGCTTGAGCGGCACGGTTCCGGCACGTTGTGCATCGACGACTGGTTGCGCAAGGTACTCAGAGTGGTCGTTGAAGTAACTAGCAATGAGCTTTTGGTCAGTAGGCGGACGGTCCGCTCCGGTTGATTCGGCGGCTGATTCCGCTGTGGCGAAGATGGCTTCAAATAGTATTCGAGATGCCCGTTGAATAAACTTGCGATGATCGCCGTCTCTGCGGCATCTACGTTGCGGTAGTTCTGAGTGGATTCCGGTTTGGTAGGAATGGTGAACCATCCATCCGCTGTCGACTCTCCATGAACCCCCCATTCCACGTCAGTCTCAATTGATTGTAATGGCATGACCAAGACTCAATCCATCCTGGCTTCGTCCGCAGAGGAGGTGCCATGTCTAGTGTTTCCGTTGAAGGTGACACGATTGCTGTGTATAAGCATATCGGCAGTCCTTCAAGAGCAGCATCCATGGACGCAGTCCATCCCGGTTGTGAGCGCAAAAACTACCCGCTGCAAAAATCGTCAGAGTACGTAACGCTGCTTTTGACCGTCTCCGGATGAGGTCCGTACCCAATTAAAGCTGTGGTGTCTCCATTGTTATTGACCACAACCCATGATTACAGAAGCGGCTTCTGGGCGCTGAGCACTCGATGTTCGGTAAGAAGTGCCACTCAGCCCACCAGAACCGCAAATGACCTCTTTTGTAGCGGTCCCGATCCAGCCCATCGCTGAAGGCCCAATCCGGGTTGTTACGGGAGTGTAGAAGCTGATCACGGTCGTATGGTCCCAAAAGAACTGTGGTGTGTAGAAGGTCGTGGGAGTCAGTCTCAGCGCTATGATCAGGACGCATTAGGAGAAGGCAGCCGCTGATGGGAAGGCAGCCTGGAAGAACGTATCATTCGACATGGCGTTGGAAGGCACCCAAATCGGCACGAAGCCTCCAATACCATATTCACTCGATAATTCTCTGATCTTCTTGGCGAGATTAACAGGCTGAGGATACATCGAATGCTGCATGAGGTCTTGTGTCGAGGGCTCGGCGGCCGCAGATGTACATGGTATGGAGCCTGCTTTATCGTGCGTAGGCAGGATCTCCAAGGGTACCTAATAGTATAGTCAACGTAGGAGTTGGGCCATGCCAATTGCAGACTGGTAGTAGTACCAGCATTAGTGAATGCAGTAAGCGCCCAAACAGTGTAATACTCGTCCGTTGATGGACAAGGCGGGTAATTCTTGTCGAAAACTTCAGACCAACGATAGTCAATCTGAGTTCTTACTGCTGTTGCCACTGTGTTGCTGTCCATGAAGACGGTAGTACTGATAATGCCGACTGTGATCAGCGTTGTGTACACGATCTGCTCTTCTGGTACCCAAGATATCATTGAAATTTGCGGAAGGTAGACGGAGCATTGAGCGTCGCATGTTGAACTGGCCGAGAGGGGAAATACTGTCGTGTCTGTCATTGGATATGGTGGCCCATAGGTGATATGGACATCAGTCTGAACTTCAACTTTAAGATCTGCATCTTGAGGCGTGGCTTGCGCTATCTCCAGGAAGAGCATGCAAAGCAAACGGCTGTTAAACCACATTCCGGCCAAGCAGTTGATGATTTCTCGAGCAGGGTGCGAGTGCGCGGTGCCGCCACGATCAATAAGTAAAGAGCCGCAAGTTTAGGTAGGAGCCTACATGGTGAAGCCAGAAACTTCGTCGAGAAGTGGGAGCCTGACGGCCCAGTACTTGATCGAGCCTGCGTTAATTTCTTCTAAATCTTGTGTCTTGACAATGTGTTCAGTCCAGAAACCTTGGGACTAATGTGAAGCTTCAATACAAAATGGTCTAACAAAAAAAGACTCCCGACTCTGCGCTCTGCTCCTCAGCCCATCTCTCCCTTTCTTGGCCTTCTCTTTTGAAGAGTAAGGAGCTAGATCAGTCCGAGATAGAGCTTAGGAGGCTCATTAGAATGAAAGATGTTGACAGAGTGACCGGTCTGCCCAGGCTCAACGCGTTTGAGATCTAGGATATGAGAATGAACATGATGAACTCTTTTTGCACGAGATTCATGACATTAAGATTGATGTTATTGCAGTCGAAATATGTAATCGCCAACGGAAGTTTAAATTGAGTTTTGGAGAATGGAAGAGAGGAAAGAGTGGTCGAGCGGGTAGATGGACGTGTGGCAGGCGCTTGTGGGGTGGCAAGTGCGCCCACAGCCCAAGCTTAAGGTCTCTCTCCATTCTTCACGATGACCTTCACACACCTGACGACTTACGCTCTGGGATACTGTCAAGATGGAAAGAAACTTCGGAAGATCGCACTCCGTGGCAGAAGAGCAAGTGCGGTCTATGCAGGGTTCCCGAAGAGGTGAAGATGCACCCTGACGTAGACGTGACAACGCTGCTGCATCTCGCGACACGTCCCATTGATTCCTTCCGAAAGACCATGTTGCCGTGAGCCAAGCTATGAAATCAGCCGCCTTCCTCTGGCAGTCATTCTTCCCTCGTTCCGCTGACTACCAAACCAAGCTCCGTTGGCAACAATCGGCTCATCCAGGAATTCCGCGTCAACCTTTAAGCCTGAGATGGTCAACACCAAGAGTAAGAGCATCATCATAACAGGTGGAGCTCGTGGTATCGGACGTGCCACAGCACGGCACCTCCTTTCACAGCCGTTATCCCACCGCGTCTTTCTCATCGATCTTGACGGCGAAGAACTCCAGTATGCAGCCACCAAACATCTGTCCGCCTATGCTCCACGAGTCGGGTACGCGACAGCAAATCTTCGAAGCCCGGAAGAGATACGAGCAGCTGTAGCTAAGGCTGCAGAGTTCTTTGATGGCAGGATCGATGTCCTTGTGAACAATGCAGGTATTATAGCTCGCTCTGTATAGTAGTCGAGTTCGGACTGACCAACCCACGTAGGTATTGCACGTGCCTTCTTCACAGCCGGTAATGGAACGATGGAAGACGTGGCCACTGCAGAGCAATGGCAAGCATACATTGACACCAACCTGAGTGCGCCGTTCTGGATGAGCCAGGCTGTCATCCCGTTTATGAAGGCACAGAACCCAAATATCGAAGGGAAAGGAGAGGTCAAACAGGAAGGCGTCGACCGCGAGCAAGATGTGAAGCGACATGCGGAATTTAGCGACCTTCCAGAAGACTTGCACGGCAAAGACAAGACCGATGAAGGCAGTTGCATCCTCCACATCTCTTCTTTCCGAGCTCACCAGTCCGACCCTGATTGTGAAGGCTACGGCTCAACGAAAGCCGGACTGCTGGGTCTGACGCAGGCTATGGCGGTGTCGTGCCAGCGCTGGGGTATAAGGGTGAATATAATCTCGCCCGGGTGGGTCAGTGTCGCACACGAGTGCAAGGAAGGCGATGAGGCGGCGGCAAGAACGCAAGGTGCGCCCCATGAGGACGATGCGAAGAAGGCGAGGCTAGAAACTTGGGCCGGTAATCACAGCGAACTGCATCATAGGCAGCATCTCGTCGGTCGAGTGGGTCAGGGAGAGGACATTGCGGAGGCAATTGAGTACGCGATGGGCGCTGGCTTCATGAGTGGGCAGGTAAGTAATTGAAAGCTGATGTGACAGAGTCGGGAACACTGACTGCGAGACAGGAGATGGTTTTGGATGGAGGTGCCAGCAAGAGGAAGAATCCGGACGTGTAGCGTCTCCACCAACCACGCACTACGCCTTTGAACACAAAGCTTTATCGTCTCTTATGACTTCTTATAGGCTCTTATCGTTACTGAGGCTCCCTATGCAGCAAATTCCAAGCCATGGGTCCACTACTGACACAGACACAGACCAGGTATGGCTCACGTGATCACTGCTGCTTGATTGATTGATTGATTGATTGATTGATTGATTGATTGATTGATTGATTGATTGATTGATTGATTGATT